AGAAGGTGAGGATGATGTAGCTGGGGGTGAAAACCTGACTCTTGGGCATTGTTCGTATCCCATGAAGTGCTCCATCTGGTCACAGAGCCAATATTGTCTCCTAGTGTGTCTGCAGGCCTGGCCCACACCTCCAGGGCAATTAAGCTTGCTGCACATATATTTCGGGGAGAAGTACACTCCAAAACAGAACCGACAGTGGGGTGGGTGACCACAGGTAGCCTCAAAGTAGCCAGTCTCCAAATACTTACCACAAATCTTTAGAGGTCTATGTTTCTCAAATACCCGGACATTGCGGGCTCCTCCTCTCAACTAAACTTTTCCTTCTGCAAGCCTTTCCCTGATGGCCTGGTTCCTTTTGACCACAAAGCATATACCATATGTCGTAGCATTGGCCTACCTCATGGCATGAATGGATCCCATAATGTCCTGCCAGAAAACAGTAACTACACCAATGTTGGATTGCTCCAAGTCAGTGCGGAGGCCATCAAAGGCTGCACTCCCAGCCCATCCCTCAACTCTCTAAATTGATCCTCATCCTGGGTCAGCAAGCGGAACACTAGAAACAAAAATCTTCACCTTTTCCCAGTTTCTCTGGAACTCAAATTTTGGGAGTGACAATTCTCTAAGTAGGTCAAGCCTAGCCTTATCAAGCTGGTTACCTAACTCAGTAACAGAGTATCCTGTCAGGGTCAAAAAGATACATCCAATCTCAGGCTGGACATGCCTGGCACAGATGTATGGGGCACTGCCCCAAATCTTTCCCTGGTTGGAGAAGGTCATGTTGATCCAATTCCAAATAGCTTCGATACCAACTCCTTCTGGTAATGCAACCTCCTTGTACGTAGCAAACTGCATAGTAATATGCCTCCTGTGGGCATCCGGGGTCGGCGATGACTGTGGTGGTGCTAGTACTGAGTTGAGTGGGTCAGGAGGCTTCTGCGGAACTTATTGATAGTCCTATCGTGCTGGGGCTGTGGCTATCTTAATGCTGGCTATAGCCGCTGGTCCCGACCGAGCCGCTGGAGCAGTAGGAACAGCAGCCACTGGAGCCAGTTCCTGCTTATTAGTGTTCTTCCCCTGAGTCTTGGCCAGGGTCGCCATCTCCTTTTTACTACCAGATTCCCTGACAGCCTTTCTCCTCCTTCTGGCAGCACCACTCAAGCGTCTACCACGTTTCCTTCCTTCCTTCTTTTCTTCCTCTTCATCTTCCCTTTCCTAATGGACAGATTTGCCTTCGCCACCATGAGCCACATGCATCGTTACCGCCCCTTCACTGGAAGAGCTGCCACTGCTAGACTGGTGGGAGGAGGCTGCTAATGTGGGGCAGGTGGAGAGTGCCTGTTTCTCTTGGGCAGCGGGAGGCTTGGGCACATACGCCATCTGTTTTACTACCTCTGTGAAAGAGGCTTTAGCAGTAGGAGCTGCTGTGGGGGTTTCCCTTCTCTTAGAGGGGGCTGGGGATGGTGTTGTTTCTAACAGGACACTACCAGACATTACCAAAGAGGAACAACAGTAGGGGGACAACTTACCTTGCAGGGCCTCTATCTCTTCTCCTTGCTTGCTAACTATCTCTGTCAGTGCCTTTACCGCCCGTTCTAACAGGTATACCCTGCTCCAGTAATTCACTCCGCCCTTTGGTCCTTCATTACCAAATATAAGGCCATTGTTCATCCAATCTCGGACATCATGTATTGTGTCATCCTCAATCGACCTGGATTTCGAGGAGAGGAGGGGTTGAGTGTTGCCAGAGTGGATATCCTCTAGTCCTTCCAACATGGACCCAATTATACTATCCAAGCAGGGTCCCGGAGAGGGGGTCCTACCTGTATCCAACATTTTACATACTCCCCCCATGATCGAGTCCACCTGAGCCACAACGGCATCGGCTTCCTCAGGCTGAGTATCCGGAAGTTGAACCTCTAACGATGTTTGGATATTATATGACGCTTCCCCAGAGCTCGTTGGCTGTCCTTCAGGCAACCTCCATTTCTTATCAAACGCCAGAGGTGATGACGCCATTGCTGAAGAGGGGGCGTGGATGCTATCACCCAGACCAGTCACTTCCGAGTTGCGTCCTTCCTCCAGTCCTATTGGAGTGTTCCAGGCCAATATCTCCAAGGTGGACAGGACATCTTCTGTCACCAGTAGGGACAGGGAGGGCGGTGTGGTCTCAATGGTCTACAGGAGTTCCACATGGGTGGCAGTGGTCAGACGCCCGTGATGTACGTCAATGGGCAGACCAGGGAGGGCAGAAACGATCTGTTTCTTCTGCCCTTCATCAACGTTGACGGCCCTTAAAAATTGTAGCCCCAAAACAGGAGTGGCGGATCACTTAGCAGGGGATGCCGATCACATCCGATGTCGTGTCTCAGCGGCGGGAGGGTTGTAATCCTCATCCTCCGGGTCATCTAGCTTAAACATTGGGGTCTGGTAGAGAGCCCTTTCACCAGACGACATTCTGGCCAAAAATGAGGGGGTGGATGAGTCAGCCCTACAAACAGGGGCCTGGTGGAGGAAACTGGGCATCTTGCTTTGGACGGCCCTAGTGAGGGGAGGGGTAGTGGACAATGAACTCACCTCAACTATGGTCGCAGTTGAGTTGCTCTTGGCCAGAGGCACAGAGGATTCAGAAACAATGGCCTGAGAATCTTTGAGGGGGGAGGGTGCCGGGGCTGAGGAATATTCCGAGTCGTGATCGGAGTTGAACCAAACGAAGAGCCCTGTGGTAGTGTCCTTGTTCAAGCTACAAGTGGCTGAACAGCCCCTCCCAATTATGAAACCCTTCATCAAAACCTCTACTTCTTTCTTCATGGCAACGGTCACATCAGCGACCGTCTACCGAACTAACTCATCAAACTGTGGGCTTATCGCATTCTGACACCAGTGGCAGTGGTGAAACTGTAGTAAACTAAAGTTCCCTCTTGGCACAATATTTAACAGTGTAGTTGTAGGGATAAGGCCACGGTCAGCCTCAGTAGCAGGCACAAGAGACAAGGCCGTATGGGTAGTCTCAAGCAAGGAGGAGTGGCTGGAGTCGAACCAAATAGGGGACGACATCCTCAAAGGGGGGGGGAGAATCCGTGAAAGAGGAGGCTGTTGAAGACGCCATCCTCACCCAAACTACACCCAGTGATTACCGGGACCAGGCCACGGATATCTCACACTAGAGTGCCTTCTAAGCGAAAACAACTAACTTCTAACCGGCCGCCCTAAACGAAAAATACAAATAAGTAACAGTAGATGAAGTATTTATCTTGAGCGAAATAAGGTAAAGTATTGGTTATCCTCATTTCTGACAAGGAGTGCAAGAAGTAGGAAACGTACTTAGAACAAAGCGTAAAGAACCTATCCTCCTTGGCCGCATCGGCCTCCTTATATAGTGTTCTTCCCACCCATAGTCATGTGACCCAAAGTGGTCACATGTGCGAAACCAAATCATAACAAACTAGTCATGTGACCAAAGTGGTCACATGCTCAAACTCATGATCTCATAGCAAGGTCATACGCGAAAACTCATAAACCAATTATAACTGTAACCGGTATGGGTACTCGGTTATTAGTTTTGTTTTATATTTTGTTTTAAGTATCGCTTTAATACTTGGTTTGTTTTAAGTATCATTTGATATTTAGTTTTGTTTTATGTTTTGTTTTAAGTATCGCTTTGATACTTGGTTTGTTTTAAGTATTGTTTGATACTTAGTTTTGTTTTATGTATTGTTTTAAGTATCGTTTTGATACTTGATTTGTTTTACCAAAGAATATCGCTTGATATCTTTGATTAGCTTCGCTCATGCTAGACATGGACAAGACTTGTGTATTTAAAGACCACCTGATCCTATGATGGAAAAGGCAGACTTCGACAGACAGTATTTCAATATACTTGGTTGAACAGTTACTTCTTTATTCCTCAGTACACCCTCGAAGCCTCCTTTAGTTCTCAGCTCTCGCCTCCTCTCTGGAAGAGCAGGCCACCTGCCAACTATCGTATCTATTACTGATAACATGATTAGCACCTTGCGAACACATTACAATAACGCAATAAACAAGTAATATGACTTGACTGAGTCATATGCGTGAAACCCATGACCTCATAACAAGGTCATGTGTGAAACATAAATCATATGCGCAAGGCACACCCATAAGGCACACTCGCAAGGCATACTCGCTGGGTGCACGTCTTATGACTCATAATCAAATCATATGCAAAACATAATATAATAAGTCATATGACTCAAATGAGTCATATGCGCGAAACAATAACACCTATGACTCATGATCATGAGTCATGTGAAAACCTTTTCTATGCCAAGCCATGTTCGTGACATTATCTCTAACTTTGGGAAACTTACTATCACTTTCATCATTGCAATCGCTATTATCTGAGCTCAACATTGTAACAAATTTAAAGTTGATAAGAGAGATTTATGGGGGAATTGAAAGTATCAATTGAAACAAATTGAAAATAGTAAAATAATATTGTAATAGTAATCAAGATGGAAGAGGATCCCAAAGCTAGCCTTATTCTATAGTAATTATATTTCAGAAATTAGGGATTTGGAATAGGTTTGTACTTTCACATATTGCTTATTTATCATCAGGATTTAAGAAGTACTTCACGTAACACATTTTTACAGAAAAAGTATCTTGACTTTAATAACAAATAACACATGAACTAAGTGCTCATTTGATTTAAAAAAAGGTTCTACATATAGCCAGAGAGCTGTAGTTTTTTTTCTATAGAAAAAAAAATCATTTTTTGAGATATTTCATATTTTTCTACATAAAACATGCTACAGAGGTCGTTGGAGCTTCTAGAATATTTTCTGAGCTATTGGGAGTATGCTCTAAAGGTCTATCTAGGTGGTTATACCAAAATAAATTTTTGGGGATTGAGTGCCCATATGCTGGTTTTAATAAAAACACACTCATATGTAAAACGGAATTCATATTGCACATAATTGCACAATGAAAAAAAAAGAAAGAAAAGGAGAGAAAAATTCTTTTTGTATCATACCATTTTATTCGCTCCACTCTACATCGTACTGTACCAATCATACCTTTACTTTATTTTACTACCCAACGATTACAAATAGGAAAGACAAACACAACACAACGGGGAAGAAAGTAGGAGGAAAAAAAAAACTTAAAGCCAGCGTACTGTATGACCGCGCTTATTCCCGACCGAACAAAGGAGATACATGGCACTATCATAGAATGAAGGATGTAAGGGGAAACGCATTAGGGTGTAGATGAGAGGAAGAGGAGAGAGGGATAGAGGGAGGAGGATTAGATTAGACGTCCTCGCTGTCATCTTCATCCATCACTCCGAGGAGCCTGGCGTAGGGAACTGCAATTCTCTGGAGGTCGCGATGTTTGCCTATTTTTCACTCTTGTTAGTATAGTCGATGTGAACAAACTGGGGGGGACAAACCAATAGCGAGCAAAATCTGCTTCAACAACTCTCGTTTATTCCACCCAACGATATCCTCTTCCTCCTTCTCCTCATCGGCGTTCTCCTCCTCTTCCACGCCTATTCTACCCATCATGTCTCGTAGCAGCTCCTCCACCTTCGCCTTCATCCCTTCCGCCGCGATACGGCGAGCGTACATCATCAAGTAATTTTTAAAGTCATCCTTAGCATTAAGCAACACTGCCGCGGCCATCCTGTTCTCCAAATGAGACAAGGACACAGCAGTTTCGAACCCTTCGTATCCCTCTCTGTTAAGAAGAGACTGGATAATACGCTGGAGGAAGCGCCCGCGACCGTGGAGAAGGACTTCGTTCGTTGTCCGGCGTTCAAGGTGCGGGATAACACCGGCAGAGATGGCAGGGCTCTTGGGGTCTGTTGGGTTATCAGAAGAATTCTGTGCAGGCCGCATGGCGCCCGTGGAATCCCAGTATTGCGATCCGATCGCCCACCAGGCTTCCGTGAGTTTGTGCCATGTGTACATGTCACTTGAGTAGGCAAATCCATCCCCATTGGTTAGGGAGACTATTAAGGTTCCTTCAGAGTTCACACCAGCTTCGGTTATCGCCTCAGCCTTGGTAGGGCTGTCCTGTTTCTGGTAGGTGTTTGAGGAATCGAGAATAGGTGCTAGAGATACAGGTGGATGGGGGGCTTTCATTGTTTGGAGGTTCCTAGAATAGTAAGGTCAGCAATGATATATGAGTTGACTTGTGAATCGCTTTCTTACCAAACATAAGCCATCCCGATAGAGGTTATGCACATCAGCCACCATCCTCTGCACTCCATGAAACATGGCTGAGCTTCGAGAATGAGCGGGCTCAATAACCTCCTCCCAACGGGCGTAAAGACATGAACGGTTCCATCTTCACAAGCTACGGACCAAAAATTACTATTCCCAGTCACAAGTAAAGCAACTTTAGGAACAAAGTCCATCCAGAGAATCTGGCCGTGCCTTGAGAGAGTTAGGCGTGTTGGCTCCCCTGCGTTCCTGAGGTTCCTAGCTTCAAAGGTATAATCGTCCGATGAGGAAGAAGCTTGTGCGCCTGCAGCACTGGTACCGCCTGCAGCATTAGGGACATTGCTCGAGGGTAGGCCGTTTGAATCCACAACCCGCGAGACGATATTCCGGACTTTGGGAACACCTAGTCTAATTTGACTAATGGAAGATGCTGGATTGATTACGGCAGGCCTGATGAATTCCGGGGTTTCTTCAGGTCCCTGTTTGCCCGATCCCCCACTAGCTAAGACTGCGATGCGCTTCCCGTTGGTAATTTGCTGAGGGTTTTCCTCCTCTCCTTCTTCTAGAACGGGCGCCTTGCGCTTGTTGCCGAAGATGAGGGCGGGCATTCCGCCTTTTGGTAGCCCATCATACGGCCTGGAGAGGTCTAAGATTGCCTTCGGGTCGTTGCTTATAGTTGAGTTGTTGTTCGCAGATGCTTGTAGAAGATGTGCATTCGGGAGATTTGAACGATGGCCTCCACCTCTATAAAACCAACGTTACAACCTCGAGTAGATATAAGCCCGGAGGAAAAGTCACTTACGTTGAAACCAACAACGGAGCAACCCTCTTTTTGCCATCCTTGGTCAGTGTAACTTTTTGCTTGTATGGCTTCTCCTTCTGCTCTGGGGCATTGGTAGCCTTTTCTGCCTCGGGAACCTGCTGCATTTGCCATTGAGGGCCCGCGGTACTACCCGAGTTGGACATCGGTGTATCCCCTGCCTGACCGTTCCCATCCATCATGAGCTCACCCATTCGCCCTTCCACTTCTCTCCTCTCTCCATCCCGGGCCATTTCTTCTAGTCTAACACTTTCCGTTCCTTCAGGAAGGGTCGCACCTTTCCTGCCAGCACCAAACTTTTGTAGGATCCGTTCATTCTCTTCTAGTCCAAGCACAAATCCAAGGTCACCATCCTCAAAACAAATGCATATTATTGAACCATCCAGAGAGCAAACGAATAACGTCCTCCCATCCGGGCTCCATGTCAAATCAGAAATAGCCTTTATGGCAAGATCTTGAGCAATTATGAGAGGGCGGGGATTAGAGGTGTTCCAAATCGACAAAGCCTTGTCTTGACCTGCGCAGGCAATAACAGTAACTGGTGTCGATGGTGGAGTTCCTGGGGTTAAGGGAGTTTTCGAAAACATTCTTGGAGCAAAAGCGCAGACTTCTACGGGACCCTCATGGCCAATCAGGTTGATCTCACTATCCCAATTACCACGGTTTATTATGGCGACAGAGCTAACAGGGCCATTGACTGCATTAGCAGCTGCTATGTGAGATCCATCAGGGGACCATGAACAACGGCGAAAGTATGTGGTCAATGGCGACTCTTTGAATGGTGTTGTAATCGACGTTTCGACAGTAAAATTTGTCTGTTGGTCGTGCGCAGTTGCATTAGCTGCCGGAGAATTGAATCTAAATATCTTGATGCTCCTGTCGTCACTGGCCGTGGCAAAATATTTATTGGCGGGGTCAAAGGTGAGTCCTTTGACATGAGATTGATGAACGTCAATCCGCTTTAGCTTCTCAAACGTGCTCCCAGACCAAACGATGACCTTCGAATCCAGCCCCACGGAAACCAGTACAGAAGAGTCGGCGGACCATCCAACATCCTGAACATCGTTGTCATGGCCTGCCAATCGCCTATACGTCCGCCATTTCTCCGCATGTGGAGCCTCATTAGAACCGAAGAGCGGACGAGCCGAAGGCACAGCTGAAAGGTCTCGTTCGTAAACTAGAACAATCTTATCGTCCGAACCTGAAGCAAGATAGCGGTTGTTGCCGGAAAAACGGACGGTCAGAACTGCACCAGAATGATGGGACAAAGAACACAGTTGTTTAGGAAGGCGTGAGGCGCTTTCATCGGCGGCGCCGTAGACAGCACGGGTGGACCAGATTCGAACGTTGCCATCTATATAACGTTAGCAAAGCTCCCATCCAAACAAAGGGCAACTACGGCAAGACGTCAAACATACCAAGACCTCCAGTCGCTAACCGTTCACCATCAGGGGAGACGTGACAAGAGTACACCTCACATGCCTTTTTCTCAGCTACACGCAGAAGATACACCTATATTAGTGGGGAACTATCACGAACAAAGATGCGATGAACGCGTCCAAGACTTACCCGAGTGAGTAAGCCATTGAGGCCGGATGAAATGCATGACGGGGATGGCGGGTGTGATCAGGGACCTATACGACTCTCATAGAAGATCGGTGGGTGGTTAATGAGCAGAAGATGGGAAAGGCTCCGAAGATGGTGGAAGAGCGGGCAAGGTCTTTGATAGGAGTTAGGGGAAAAACTTTGTTGGGGGGACACAGAGGGTTGAGGGCAGCAGATGTGAGTGTCGAGAGGAATCAAATCGCGGGAACGTGTCACAGCTTTACGCCGAAGGGAGGTATACGCCCAAAGACACCCCCAACAACGGCATCCCCGAAAACCATGCAAAATCACACCTGATACCAATCTTCCCCGCCATAAGATGGATTAGAGAACCAGTAGTTGGATCTTTCGGGTCACAATTTGAAGGCCATTATGATACTTTACGGTACTTTATCGTTTTGTTTATCACCGAACTTATCCTGCACAACCATTACTGTGCGTCACGTGATATGAGCTTAGAGCTCATATGATTAGCCGATCTCTGTGCATGTCACTCGAGCAACAAGAGGCTTTTACTCTACTCGAGTACTGTACTGTACACTCCTGTTTGCAAGGTCCCAATGGCCACGCTGGTTGTGCCGCCCTTCGTCTGATACCATAATAAGGCTTTTAAAATGGGAATTGTACATATACATATGGCCGTCACCTATAGAGTGCCCTCATGGTCCGGATTGAGGGGTTTATTGAAGTGTGTCCTACTCTGTGTGCGTGTACTGTACTGTACCAAGCACTTTCAATGCAAATAAAAATACATTTGAGATTACTATACCGGTAGTTTAAATTGGATTAGAAAGGAATTTTGTATGAGAGCTCATTCATGAACTGTCCGTTGTGGTACTAATCTGTGCACTCTGGGGCGGGCCGAGGTATCATATATGTAGCAGCCCGGCCGTCCAGGCGATGTCTTTGGTGGACTTCGGTTCGTCAGTCCCTTGCTATGATATTCCTCCTGTAGTACGCCCCTTTCACATCAGTACTGTACTGTATGTATTTTCTATATCATACCGGGGGTTTCATCTGTCAGTTACTGTGTTTATACTCCTGTCCGCAAAATCCCCGCTGACGGAAAGGTGCAGGTACTAGGGGGGGATAATAATAGGGAGGTTCGAAGTTCTCGGGACATGGAAGGCACAGGTGTTTCGATAGAGGTGTATTTTTTAGAAAATATGGTTTGATATCATACATAGTAAACCTGTTGGCAAGGAGGTTGACAGTCTAGTGGGACATTTTTTTCCTCTCCCCCATTTCCTTTCCAGACCACTGCACTCGAATATATTGTACGAGTGCGATACCTTACGAGTACCTAGTCTGTAACACTAGGTAGAATAAAAAAAAATAAAAAAACTAAAAAATTTCACACTAATATTACCGGTGTCCACTATTTTATTGCTATTCTTTAGCCAAGATAGAACTTACAAAGCATGGAAAAACAAGTTAATACACCTGTCCTGATGGAATTTTGTATACAGGTAACGTTCAAAGCAATATGAAACACCGCTGCAGCGATGATATATCGATACATAAGATCAACGATCAAATCCCACTTCATTGCCACAGTTTACCTGTGGTTTCTGCACCCACGGGGCCAAAATTACTTACAGCTATTACTGCGAGTCCCTTTTACTCTCTCATATTGGTATCTAAAGCTTAAATTGGTCGAATGTTGATCTTTACGGGTAAGAAACTTTGGACAATGGGTCGAGGGGCAACAAGTGCAAGTTGGTGGGGTTCGATAGACTTATACTTGATACCCCGTGTAGTGCAGTGCTCGAGCGCGGTGATAATAATAATAAATCAGACCCGTTGTATTTACCGTTTGGTATGACTCCCGTTCACCTTATTCTCCTCATCCAGTCTTTCTACTTGACGCATGGGAGTATTCGAGTGCGGGTACAATGCAGGTATTGGTGTTATGATATGTACTTCGGTTGTCAGCAAGACCTTACCACAGTACCTTCCCATCAGTGAGGGTTTTGCGAACAGGAGCGTATCGGGTAGGTGAGCTTTACACATGACCTGCATCAACACATTCCTTGAAGGATTCATGCGAGTGATATCCTATGATTATTTCGTCTATCTAGATTAGAGCAGGAAATCTTCAGCTGCCCTGGTATGGTAATATTTACCCACCGAGGAGATTTTGTGTGCTTTAAACTGACAAGTTGTTGGAGTATTGTGTCGGGACAATGGGTATCATAATTATTATTATGATTCCTGTCGACATGGGCCCTGAAATCCTACCCCTTTACCCCACCCTCAATGGCACCTGTCAGCGATGTTTACCTTAACCTCGACCCTGTATATAAAAGTGCCCCGTTGATAGGAGATCCTCATGGTCACTCCTTCATCATTCAGCGTCTCCTCCTTCATCACTAAACTTACCATAGAACTTCCTTTATCCTCCACCACTTCCGCATCGATAACTACTTCACCAACGAGCATTCCACGGCCGCCATCACAGACAAGGGACCCACCGCCTCCGCAAAAAAAAAAAAAAAAAAGACAAAGACAAAGACAAAGACAAAATGCCCACATCCTCCAGTCCCCTTACTATTCCTAAACTCCCTTCAGGCAAACCAATCGAGGCCTATATCCTGATCCGCCAACTAATCCACCTCTTAACAACCTTCCTAAACACGGTCCAGTGCACACACCTCCACCCCAGTGGTCGTGGCATTCTCCAAAAAAATCTAATGTTTCGCTACAGCTCTGAGGCGAACATAATAGTAGCCTGTGCGACAGAGCTTGTGTCGTATTACACTTCCAATATCGACCTCGGCCAGTACTCCTCAGGCTCTACCACTACCATCCACAACACATGGAACCTCTCGACCTCATTCCCAGCCTTCGCTCGAGTCCTCTCCCTCACACAAGGCAACGCAGAAGTCCTCTTTGGCAAACCTTTCTCCCGTCGATTCCAGAGCTCGACTGGGCAGCAGGAGCAACATGAAGAGGGGATGATAAAGAAACAACAACTTTACCGCCCACCAGCAGAATTAGCTCCCTCCCAGGCCGAGCACGAACGCATCTCATCAGCACTATCAGCCCAATATGCCATCTGGAATAACGCCATAATCAACCTCCACGCCAATTTCAATCCACTGATGCCCCAGGATGCAGTCACTCTTCTGACCCATACAGCACTAACACTGCGGACCGCAGCACTTGCTGCAATTAAGCTTGTTGAGCATGACCTTAGGGTCGCGTGGGGTCTAAGGCCAATTGTTGGCACACTTGAGGCTAAGTTGGTATATCTGGCTATTGTTAAGGAGGCTGGGAAAGAGAATGATTTTGAGACCCGGCTTAGGAGAGAGTTGTCGGATGCATACAGAGAGGCAAGAGTGAGCTGGAGTGAGTTGGTGAAGAGAGAGCTTGAGGAAGGGGATTCCGAGGAGGTTATGAGACCCGAGTGGTTGGAGAGGTTGAGTAGTGGGGGGGTGTAGTTGGGCCTTCTCTGTGGGTATCATAGAAAGCCCTTTTAGATGTAGTCTAGTTCCCAAGGGAGAAAACCAAGTTTCCATAGAAAATGGGCGGAATATAAAAATAAAATAATTGAAGGTGTCAGAAGAAGAATTGCCACTACTGGTATGATATGTCATACAGTTCATACAGTATCTTGGCAAACCGCACACATAATGATAAATAAATAAAATTAGGACCTGTTCAGCAGGATATAATAACTTTCTTTACTTGTATAGTTTTTTTTTGTTGTTTTTTTTGTCAATATAAATATAATAATATCTAAATTGGTCCCTGCTCAGTGGGCTACGAAAATGGTAATGGTAATTGTAAACATTTTCTTTTTTTTCAGATGCGATATACCAGTAGGCACATGTCCTACACAAAAGTACCGTACGGGTTCAAGATAGTAGGCTTTATCATTAATATCATCTTTCTCTGACTTAACTTTTATCCATAATATTACTCGACAGCTATGATACTACAAATACATCATAATATTATTATAATATTATACCAAAATGTCGTGAGTGTTTTTTGTTTTTTTTTCCCTCTAGACCCCATACCGTACCATACAACAAATACATAAGGTCTATAAATTACGGTCCTACTCATACTAACAAAATAGTTTTTTTTTTTTTTGGTAGGGGGGGCACGAAGGGACACTAATAAAATGCTAACAGCTAACCATCTCAATTGGTCACGGCTCTACAGTAACATTTAGTGTCATACCTAATTTGTTATGATATCATAAAAAGAAAACCCTATTTCGGCGGGGAAAAATGGTCCAAATCTCAAAGCAAGAAAACCCCGTCGCCACCCAAACCTCATTCCCTAGGCACCTTATCCCCCCGAGTCCTCACCAACTTACAGTATACCCTAAAACAGGGAGGGGGGGTTCTGTGCTGGACTGACTATGATGCGCGCCTAGGTCGAATGCAGTTTTTATAACAAGTTAAAAATATGATTACATCTTGGGAAAATGATATCAGTGCCAATGGCTTTCTGGCAATATTTTGTCAACTGACATATATATAAAAAGTTGGAAAGGAAATAGAATTTGCTCTCCATTATGAATAAGTGTCAGTAGGTGTATAAATATTTTTCGTTAACAAATTTGTTATCACGGCATCGGCATCAGGCCATAGCATCCAACAAAAATTTAAGAATCTGATAAACAGTAACAGTGGTCACGAAGTGTAGAAATCCGTGCGGCTCCGGGTGCCCCTGAACCTCCCCAATCAAAATCCCAGAATAGGTCACCAAAAACCCCACCAGCTTATCCTGCATCTCAGTTGTGGCGGGTATATCCCCCAGCACACTCCCCATTGCAGAGATCACCGCAAGTTCATGCGCCTTACCCTCTAACTTTTTGATAGAAGGCGCGAGAACGGTGATCTTGCTCTTGGACAATTCTTTCAGTGAGGCGATGTTGAACTCCTCTGCGAAACCGTATAGCTTTGCGTGAGTTACCAGAGGTGGGGGAGCTTCCGTGGCCTCTCTGCCCCCCGGGAGGTTGCGTAAGTTGTCTGTGCCTGGGGCGCATAGGTAGTCTCCAGAGTAGCAGAATTCCATGAACCAGTGTATGGCTTCTGGGGGCATGTCCTTCAGGTCCCAAGTATTTGCCGGACCTTCTCTCACGTCGTTGTATACATGATGGCGCATCTCGTCCGAGAGCTGAGCGAGGAGCTCTTTGTGGAAGTGGAAGGGCTGGAGGTCGGAACCTGCGCGGATTGTGAACATTTCCGAGGAGGCGAATCTATGCAGATCAATACAGTACCCGTTTGTGTGGGCTCGAGAGGGGGCAATTACAGGTCAAAGGAAACTGGAGGGGATCGTTTGGACGCCATTTCTGGAGTCTTTTCAGAGGTACCCGCAGCCTGAGGGGTGGCGAATGATGGAAGGAAGTCAAAGGCTGGAGGGGAGCCAAATGATCCGGAGGCCATCTTTCTTCTGTCTGCCATAAAGAGAGGAAATTGAAGATGGACTCTGGCTAGCGGGAATTTCCCCGTCGCCAAGTTCAGCGATAATACTCGAGTACCGTACCATACAAGAATCTCTTCTACACATTGGGGGCCTAGAGCATGACAACTCAGCAACCGCTTTTGGCAACCAGCATTAGCACAGTAACACAGACTATCAGAAGGCGGATGGCGGGAGCGGGGACGGGGTGATCATTGGTTGGTCGGTTGGGCGGTGTTCGTTTGGGGGGAGGTTGGAGGTTGACGTGGAGAAAGCGGTGTGGTAGCTGTTGTTTCTATGTTTACCGCCCCTGTCTACTATTAGTTATCTTTAAGGACAATGAATTCCTAATCGGTCTACGAACAGCGGTAATATCTATTGCATCATAAATTATCATACTAGAGTTGTCTTTCTCGGCGTGTACGGTACTACTAGGACACTCTAGCCACAGAACATTGTATTGGAGCCACACACACCAGGCGGGTGAAAGGGGAGGGTAGAGGATAGGAGGGGAAAGTGATTGGTACATAGGATTTTCTTTTCTTTTCTCCCTCCTCGAGGTCTCGAGGACTTTTGCTAGTAGTAATTAGTACAGTATCACACCAGCACTGTACCACCCAAGCCACACCCCAAGATTCCAATCAACTCGACCCTTTCCAGAGTACCGTATGGTATTCCCCCCACCCCGGACATGCATGATACAAATCCTACCCGCTCTCTCTACCCCTTCTACGTCTTCCGCCTTCAACTAGGGAATTGGAGTTGTATGCTGGGAATAACTGATGATAATACCCGCTTCTAGCACCCCGTTGTTAACTTATCCCCGGGCTCGTGGGAAGTATTGTGATATATCAACACTTATCGTAATGGCCAATGCTCCACTGGTAGGGGGTATGAAGATAGCTTACCGCGACCGGATGTGGACTCCCTTATGCATGCGCTTAGTTGCTAACATCACGCTAATATGATGGGATGGCGGTGGCTGTTTTGTGGGTTTGCACTCATACTCGTACTCGGACTGTATTGCTCGAGTGGGTGCGTGGGCTAATGCTTGGGGCCGTGGGTTTGACTAGATTGTTTGTCTGGAAGTCGCTCGGATATAAGGTATAATCTGACCTTATAAAAGAAAGGTATCACAGATGGTGTGGCAGTTGGAAGGAGTAGTACTCGTACTATACACATAACACAGTAGCAGAGATTGCCCTCCCTCAGTATGACCTTTCGTAACCCCATCTATTATCAGCACAAGCACCCCCAAGGGCATGGACTCGTCAGTGAAGACTTCACCACCCCCCTCCGTACAAGACACGAGTTACTACTAGTGATCACCCAAGAACCCAGCATCCCCTTACAACTCGTCCCTCGCCTCTCCCTCTCCCTCCAGTTTAACGGTAGCCCTGGCTTTCTTAGCTAAGCTGCTCAGAACCTCGAAAACCACCTGCGATGCCGCCAACGCAGTATTTTCCGCACAATCGTAGGCGGGGGCAACCTCAACCACATCCACCCCCACCACGTCCAGCCCTTCAATCCCCCGAAGTATCCTAATCAACTCTCTCGTAGTCCACCCTCCAGCTTCGGGCGTTCCAGTACCCGGCGCTATTCCAGGGTCCAGAACGTCAATATCGATGGAAAGGTACACTTTGCTTTTGCCAACATGATCCACGATCCTCTTGACTATTCCGGCAACGCCTATGTCGTCTATGTCGTCGGTCGAGATTCTTGCCCATCCTTGGGCATCGTCACCAGCGTAGTCGCTCATATCCGCGCCGGAAAGGCGGGTGCGTAGGCCCGCATGGATGTTGTATGTGGGGAGCAGGAGAGACTCGTTGTAAGCGAGGTGGAACATGGTGCCATGGGTGAAAGCGGATTGTAAGGTTGGCCAGGACGAGGGGTATTTTGTTGGGTACCAGGTGTCGAGATCTATAGATAGTCATTAGCTACGACACCATACCCCGCAGTGAGTGAGTGAGTGGAGACGGGAACACACGAGCGTCAAAGTGAACCACAGAAACAGGTCCATAGACGCTATTCACTCCACGCAATGCCGCCAGTGCAATTGAGTGGTCCCCACCCAGCGTGACAATTATTGGCCGGCGGCCAGAAGGGGTAGACCGGGACATTAATTCCTTATACGCTTCGGTCATCTGCCGCAGTGCGAGCTCATTATCGAATGGCGATATCGGAACTACCCGCTCCTCAATCCCCGATGAGCCTCCTCCGCTTTCTCGCGCTCTCTGGTCGGGGGAGAAAATTGAACCTACTGTCCCCGCAATCAAGTATCTTCACATCCGACAAGTACGGATTTATGCCCGCACGAACATTAAATCCCCTACTCTCAGACTGTCTAGCGCTCGCTGCACGTATCGCGCGTGGGCCGAAGCGTGCTCCCGGTCGATAGGATACAGCTGTATCGAATGGTGCGCCAAGAATTGCTATGTCGAACTCTTCATGCGGGTCAACGAGGCAGCGGACGTGTTGAAGATGAGCAAAGGTGGAGATCCCGCCGAAAGGGTGTTCAACAGCCCATTTTTGGCGGAGGTTTAAGATGTCCTCCTCGATATACTCCTTCCCCGCACGAGAGAGGGCGAGGGGCAGAAATGGCAGAAGGAGGGAAAGGAGGGACTTCATAGCTTGTTTGTCTGTCTGCTCGTTAGCCGCTGAGATTGGGGGGGGGGGGGGGAAACCGGGTCCCCCGATCTTCCTCCTCTCAATTTATCTAGAGTATGATATCGTACCCGAACGAAGGCACGATAACGTAAGAGCAGCTCATCCCGAAGAGGTGGGGAAAGCAGGGATTCCCTTGCCCCGTTTACCGGTACGGCCTCCGCACGTAATTGGTCAATTTTTGCATAACAGTTCTACCACAGGCACTGCAAGAGTAGACTGCCTGAGCAATTTACCGGGCAGACTACAAGTGCGGCCGATAGATATGTCCGTCACATGAAGCCTGATAAGGAAAATTAGGACAACCTTCTTTGCTGCAGCGCGCCCAGAGAAGGCACGTGATGGATATATCTATCGAGTTCACTTGTACTCGAGCAGAGTGCGGAGAAGATACAGTATCGTGCTTAACCTGCCTGAAAAAACTTGACCCATCCAAGAGGGGTTGTGATTCTCGCCTAGACTACCCTATCATTCTCCGCACCCAAGTACCTAGTCCATCATACATTCCAGACATAACTTTACCACAACAACTTGCAAACGTAGGAAACCGTTAACCGAAACAGACAGAGATACATTTATTCGGCCGGTCAACCCCAAATAACTGTCCCACAACTTCTTGCCGCACCTCGCAACAACAACAACATCCTGGGCTCCAGGAGGAGGCTCGCGGAGAATGAAACGTGCCACTACGACGAGTGAGAACTCATGAGCATCAATCTCCAACCCCCCCACAAAAAAAAAAACCCCCCATGAAAAATTAAAGCACCATACCTAACACCAGGAGCGCAAATCCCACACCGCCTAATCAAAAAATCTGTTTGGGATATCAACGTACTACGGGCATGATAGAAACACCAGAGCATATCTCGACCCCCCCCCGGTGCTAACTGGCGACATTCCGCCCATTCCACCCCACCCAGATGACAAGTCCTAACCCATCGGGACCCTAGCCACGTGATCCCGAAAACAAGTGTGTACCGAGTGAGTAAAGTACATGTGAACAGCATCCAGACTCATAAGGGTGGCCTTTCCCAGAACCCGAAGGGCGTACAGTGTTCGAGGTCAAAATTTCGATATCATACAAGTCAGTGGGCACCCGGTTTCCCGGGCGCGATATATAGTACTGGTGGAGGTGTTCGTGAGGGCCTGTCTCGCAGTAGCCATGCCCCCTCGCCGAAATGGACAACTTTTATCATTAATTTTCATACTGATATGAGACCGGTAGAGTCGACCAGCGCGCATGTTCTGTTTTCATTTTTTTTCATTTCCAGCAATGCAGTGGCATAGCGGGGGCCTTTTCCGTCGGTCCCTTTTCGCCCATGGCATCGTTTAATTGACCCAAAAGTGTCGAATATCGTATGCACCTTAACCCTCCCCCGGCTCGCAAAAAATGGGCACAGGAAAAGGAATAAATGGTTAAATGTGCATGGTATTATTCATCAGATGTTAACTCGTGGGGTTCGGTATGTTTAATACAGTATCATTCTTGGCATAAGCTCCATTCGCCCCTAAAATTGTAGTCACTTTATTGAGTATTGATTTCCACAATTTTTCAAAAGAGAAAAACCAAAAAAAAAAAAAAAAAAAAACCCCATAGCCTCCCTCCTTTCCGAGGTGTCTCAAATCCTTAGCATTCCTGATGCAATCCCTTTTTTCAGTTCAACCCATCCATGTTCAATAGGACCCCGTATCGTGGGAATAAGTATGGTGCTCTACACAAATACTATTAAGTTAGCTTCCGACCAATCAATTGCTCGTGCATTACAAGTTTTGTGGGCTGTACATTGTCATCCTGACAAAGAAAATCAGTTTGTATCTCACCCATATCACCTCTTCTATGTTCACCTTTTCTTATCCGCATCGTTGATCATGAGCCGTAGACCGTTGGGAAGCAATGGCACCAGGAACCACCTTGGCCGATTGTGCGGTCGCAATTAAACATGTTTCAGATCATGAACACTACGGTACCATCGAGTGTCTATAAGATAGGTCTAAGCTCGTCTGAATTAGGTCTAACTACTCCGGTCTGGCCCATTGCCAGCCGGAAACCCCCCAGTATGTAAAAACAGTGTAATCTAAGAAAATAAACCTTTTCGCGACCCTTCACCCAGCGTTTAAAAATCTTGAGCAAACAATATTAATACGTTTAGCAGGTGACATTGATCTTGAGATTACGATCTACCAAATTGTTAGCTCCTCATGATGGTGGGTGAAGAAAGAATAATCTTACCAGAGGTAGCAATGCCAAAGTTCTTCTCGATATCACTTCCCCTGTTAGGCTCATCGACTACACACATTCATCAGCATCTCAACAAAGTATCCAATTAGGAGAAAACCTACAAGCACTGAACCAGAAGTGAGGGGTCTTAGAACTACGAAGACTGCAGCCAGCAGACTTATAGAACTTCTGGAGATTCTCAACATTAGGGTGGGCGGCGCCAAAGTCGGGCCCACCAGTAGGCCATCCGGTCTCGCCAATAATGAGTTGCTTGTCTTCGCCAATTGCAGCCTTGGTGTTGCTAACAGCTTTCTGAAAGACATCCTGAGAGCCATCAACCTGAGCACCCTGCCAGTACGGGAATGCGTTCATAACGATAACCTATTTCAATTAGTACGGGGAACGAACTCTATGATACGAGTGCAACAAACATCGCAAGCCTTTATGACATCAACATTGGCTCCGTCGACCCATGAGGTCCAGGTATCGGCGGATCCAACAGGAATGTGGGAAGCGCCGAGGGCGGTCTGGACCATCCCCTTGACATCCCAGATCTGTTCGGCCAAAACACCGGGGTGGATCTCCTTTCTATAAAGTGACTCCGATCCAACATTGACACCGACCAACCACTCCGTGCCATGGTCCCTAATAGCCTGTTCAAGACCAGCCTTTTCCCTCCCAAACTTTTCCTTGTCGACAGCCCACACACCAGCCCAGATCTTGAGTCCAGTCGCTTTGGCTGCAGGGACGGCATTGGCGAGAGTCGAGCAATCAGTTGTGCTGAAGAGCTTGATAGCCGTGAACTCCGGGTTCCAGGATTTGATCGCGTTAAACTCATCGGTCCAATCCTGCGTCGATTTACAGTCACCATTTGGCTGTATAACATTAGCAAGCAGTATAGTATATTCATGCGAAAGAGCATATTACCTTGTTGGCTCCGATATTGAAACCAAAAAAGTATGAGACTTTTGGTGCTCTTGCTTCCAAGGGGGCAGCAATGGCGGCCTCAGTAGCCATCATGGCAGCCATAAAGGCACTGGCAACGGAAATTTTCATGATTAATAAAAGAATGTAGTAGAGGTTTGCTGAGAAGGAGTGGAATTGGCTTAAAGAGCAGTGAGGATTAAGCAAGAATTAAAAGGAATCAAAGGACAGACTGATAAGTGGGTAGCTCTCAGAGCAAGGAGAAGTACCGTAGTGAATGGCGGAAAAGAGTGTGCGTGAAAACTGTATTGTAGAGTAGGGGGGGATGTAAGAAGAGGAAGGAGAGGAGCTTATGTATGATAATAATTATGGTTACGCACACTCCCCCGCCTCCCTCTGGGCCTCAGCAAAAGAGAAGCTGGATTCGTCGGGCCTGGGAATCCACTCTCCCATACGGTAGTGGAGCCCGTCCGTACTGGACCCTACCTGCCTAAAGCACCGGCCACACATTGCAGGGACAACATTTCCAACACCAGCCGGTCTCAGATCTTCCTTATAATCCGATCAAATTTCAAGTCTCTACGCTGCACCCCGATACAAATAATGAACGAGAGCTTCAATCACACTTTGATAAATTTTGAGTTAAAAAAATAACTAACGTTATATATCGATAGCCTGCCCCGCTCAAAATTTGCACCTTTTTAATAGGGAAATGCCGTGGTGGGCAACTTGCCAAGATGCATTGGGACCGTGCTCAATTAGCTACCCTGGGACCATAAGAAACTGTTTTCCACATAAATCACATCCGCTCCGTCCAATGTTCCTCCAAGACTCTCCAAAAAATATCAATAATATAGAACTACTTCTTTTTTCACACACACGGCCTTATCCGACGCTTCCATCTTGATCCGTTGACCTCCACTAACCAGATGGACATGGTTTTGACGAGATGTGACAGGGTTCGCAACCGTTTCCTGTCAAGAAGGGGTTTCCGGCATGGAAATGTTACGGTAATCGAAGCTGCTTTGTGAGCGCTGGGGTGGAACTTTGGCTGAGAGACATGGGAAAAACGGGTGGAAAGAAGCGGGAAGCAGCAGATCTCAGACCCCAGATCAAACGATGCATTGAAGAGATCCCGTTGATGGCGCTACCGAGTTGGGATAAATTGTGCAAAAAAGAAAAAAAGAAGAAAAAAAGTGAAAAGAGGACTCCAAAGATGGTGTCTTATTTACCTGGCTGCTGGCTATTGGGGTTTGGTGGATTAGAGGAAGGAAGATTTTCATTATACTATACTCGAGTTCACACTTAGATCTGAGGGAAATTGAATTGCGTTCGGACGGCATGAGATTATAGTGTGCAATTTGCCGCAGCTCGACCCGGCGCCAGTCGCCACGGTCAAGGCAACTGCTGGACGGAATCCCCTTGGAGGCTGTGTCCTCTGACGACCGGCACTGGAGTAACTTACCGGTAGTCCCTGGGGCTGGGCATGATGATAAATCTGATCCCAGTCCCTTAACATCTGAGATCCCGGAGTGTGGGATCCGGAGCCCTGCAAATGTGAGGCTGTGGAAGGCTGCCGCATAGAAGGGGTTCGGGATTTGGTTGTTCCATGTTCTCTGGGCTGCTATCCACATTCAGCATATCCGCCGATTGGACCCAAACAAGCGCAACGGAGGCTCCAGTGCCAGAAGATCACAATCTTCGCTCACTTGTGCGCGAGAACATTACTCGAGTATGCAGTGGATAAGTTAGACCCTTTGATCTACTCGTACCGGTGTGCTGCTTTGGTCTGTCAGAGAACGTATAGTACCCAGGAAAGCTAGATTTGCTTGAGCACCATGCTGGCAATAACAGGATAACAAACTAACATTGTTTGGCACCCTTTTCCCTGCGGGGAACTCTGTGGTTATGTGCTCGAGGAGTGCTCAAGTACCGTGTACCGTATGCTGGTAATAGGGGCACACAGCAAGCACGCCCAAATGGGGCTTGAGGCGAGGACACATGAGGTCAACAGAGAAAACTCCTGCCCATTCGAGTACATGTACAGTACTCGACGTTTTTTTGAAAGTCTCCCGGATGGGAAATGAATAAGTGATTCGCTTGTGGTATATAATTGTCAGCCTTGCAGCGCCGGACCCCACAGGGACTACAGTAAATCGGGACCGATACGTAACTCACGTTCCGGGGAGGGGCACGGTATTCGCAGCGATGCCGAAGATTTCCAATCCGATTGCCAAACCGAACACCTTGAACAAGAAATCCCAAGAGAATTCGTTTCGACCTAAGGACTAAGGTTGCTTTTCTGAATCCCGCACGGGGGCGCTCACTCCTCTGCCAGACTCGTTTGTCGGTGCAGCTTAGTGAGCCAAAGCGCCCGCCGGGCTCCCCTCCACCGAGCGAACCATCGCAGCACAACTTTTACCGTCGGCCCAAGTTTCGTACGAGTATTGCTGGCCATGGGTTACAGCGATCGACAGGGGACGAGGGGGTTAGTAACAGGTATCTTATTTATTTACTTTTGATTCCATTTTGAGTACGGTATAGTACTTTGACGAATTCGTCCCTTCACCCCACCACCGGTTTTATTATCGTAGTCGTGCCGGAGCAGTATCTGGAATAGAATTGGGGCACTGGGCATTGACATTATGGCAATGGACTACTCATCCTATGCACTCGAGTAAATTATCATACTCGTGCAGTATCATACAGTGAGAATCGAAATAATTGGGAATGGGGCTAAGACGTCCAGAATTTCCCCCTCTGGGTTAGGGGGAAAAGATACAACAGACCTTACCAGGAGAGGAAACCCTAACCTCCTAGCGAGATTCCCATCCCGCTTCCCCAGGCCACGATACCGTACTTGTATCATACTGTACTGGTACTCTAACGTGAGACCAGGGCTTGGGGTGTTGATAGAATGTTGGGAAACTTCTGTGCGTTGTAAATAATACCGCCGCATCGACATCGCCGGGGCGAAGTTGTTGCGGTACTGTACTGTACTCGAATCGAGCACAGTGCTCCATGGGCAAAAGCGCCGGAGACCACGCATAGTACGAGTACTTTACGATACCGTATCCCCATCACTGGGGTAACATTAAATTGTTACCGTAAGGGCTGGAATAATTGGGCCTCAGGCTAGGACGTTAGAGCAAACAGTTTTTTTCGCCTGATCCAGAGGAGGGAGGGAGCCCCGGCGCATGTCTTAGCGTGAGGTCCAATTTTCTCGAGTAAATTTAGATTATTGCGGCACAGGATTGAAACTTAGCAACCAACCACTCCGCTGGCGAAGAAGGATGAATTCTAGCCTAGCCTTTACTATCACATAAGAAAGCGAATTGAAAGAGCTCTTAATACTGTATCTGGTCTAGTACGGTACCGTAGCACGTTTGCAGCAATAGGGAGCATGAGCCCGGGCAAGCGCAGCCCGCACCTCCACAAACCGCGAGAAAAAAAATTGCTAGGGACCGTCTCAATTTAGCGTACAAGTAAAAACGCTTGAAACCTACCATCACCGGCGGCCCTGTTAATCTCCGGTTTCTGAGCCAAAGACTCCCGGGGAGGATCAGCGCTTCCCTGAAACGGTATAAGATTGACCCACGGACATATTGCATCTCGTAAACTTGCTATTCGCAAATCCGCTAACTTGTCAAACTAGTCCTATTCTGGCCCAATGGAGATAGCAAATTATAAGGGTTTTTTTTTTTTTTTTTTTTTCCTTTTAATAGAAAACTTTTGCTTTAGGCTAGACTATCCCATACCGTATCGGCTGTCTGTCACTGCGTCCGAGAGATCGGTGGAATGAAATCTCAGCTTGAAACGCTTGGTGACTTAACACGAATTAGGAATGATGCTCTCCAGATCTCGTTATTCCCCAAAGCAAGACCCTTTGGACGTACGAGTAGAACACGACGGACCACCAGTAAATTAGACTAAGTTATAGTACCAGCTGTATCCCGCCGGACTGCAGACACTAGAATTGGTCACTGCGTTGGTTATACAAATGGTTTCAGAGAGGGTACCGTAGTCTATCCTCTGTTGCATGAAAACTAAAGAAAGCACCACCTTCAGGCTCATATTCTCCAATCTCACATAAATTATGATCTCCCCCGTCGTACCGGTATCCGTGAACCGATGATCCGGAGCCCTCTCTCTCTCCTCTGGTCTGGGCAACGGGAGTGTGATATCGAAGGCACAATGTTGTTGACAAAAGTGGAGAAGAAATGTGTCAAGTTTCGGTTGCTAGCGAGATGACATTTATTTTTCGTGTGAACCCAACCTATGTTTCCCAAGACCTTCACAGGCAAGTTCAGCTCTGGGACTTCGCTTCCAAAGAGAGAGAAAAAAAAGGGTCAACAAGGCAAAAGAGCTCCCGCACCGAAAAATCCCAAGTATCATACTCGTACAATATTGTGATCGAAACCATGTGCTTATGACGTTCGAGTTAACTCCTCCTGTATGATACTTTTTTTTTTTTACCCCTCCCCGACAGGCTTAACGAGACACCATTTACTCCGCCCTTCACCCCTTTTCTGGAGAAGGAGATTTCGTACCGCTGCCGGCACGGTACCAACTCAATTATTTGAGATCCTGCTTGCACAATACCCATACCATAGATATCCATAGACCAAACCCTCCCAGACACCCTTTCCATTCCATTCCAAACTTTTCACCAACTACTCACCCCCATCACAGCACCACCCTCACAATCACGGGACAATGCTCAAGTCAACGCTCCTCCTCCTCCTCCCCCTAATCCTCGCCCACTCTACCACCACCACCGCCCACCAAAGCCAGACGGCGGACCCGCCAAAGTCATGGGCAGAACAGCACCTGGAGCAGGAACACCACATCAACAACTTCGACCCAGGCGCCTTCTTCACCCTCCACGACTTCGACTCCTCCGGCACCTGGACGCGCGCAGAGGTCCTGCGCTTCTACGGCTTGAGTCAGCCGGACAGCACGTTCAGCGAGGATACGAGGTCGCACGTCTGGCGCACCATCCTCGACTCCATGGACTTCAACCACGACGGCGAGGTCTCCAGGGAGGAATTTCAGTCGTTTTGTGATGGTGGGAACACGTTGCCAGATTTCGGGGTTTGTATGCTTCTTTCGGGATCGTGGATGGAGGGAAACAGGGGGCTAATTGTGCTTGGAATGGATGGATAGTTGGGACCTGGTCATCACGGTGATGATGAGTATGAGTATGAGATTCATCACTTTGAACAATATCATAATGAGGATACTACTGAGGATGAGTTGACACATCCTGAGGATATTGAGCATGTATCATCTCCGTTCAGGTCTTTGGATTGATTGATTGATTCTGAGCTGATTCGCGTTCTAGTTCCGGAAGCACGATCAGGAGCGTGAGGCGGAGGAGAGACAGGTTGCTCTCGAGATGAAGCCCATCGTTGAGCAGAACATTCCGAGAAAGTTTTTGGTGGACGGAGCCTAGTATGGTAGGTGTGTTGGACGGGCATGATGGGGGCTGTGTGTATGTATAAAGGATGCATTTGAAAACGGGAGTCTGAGGTTATGTTTGCTTAGTTAGTTGATCAGCTAGTTACCTCTAGCCTGGTGGTAATATATAATACCTATGCTGTACAAAAAAAACACCCCTGCATACACCATCTACAATCCCTCCCCACCGATGCGAATATCGAAAACGCAATGCATGACCCCAGGAGCAAACGTCTTGACCCTTTCAACATGCTCACAAACAACCCCCCTCCTACCCCCCCTTTCCTTCTCGAGCCCTTCAAAAGCCCTGACCACTTCCCCCGTCATCACATCAATCTCCCCAATCCCCACATTCTCATGAACATGCACCCACCCACCCCGCTCCGCCAACACCCGAAGAGCTCCCCCCCAGGAACCCCGACTGGTGGGTAGCAAGCCAAGATTCACCCTCTCGATACCCTCCCCAACACCCTCCCCCATCTTTGCGACCCTGGCCGGCGCATTCTCGTTATCCTCCAGAAACACCAGCACCCCCTCCCGCTCCACCGCAATCTGCGCATCCTGCTGCGGTGAAACGACCTTAGCCAAAATGCCATTCTCCCCAGCACCCCTCAACAGCCCCTCCACGCTCCAGTGATTAATCTCCCAGGCGAGGACTCGATATCCGAGCTTTGCGTAGGGAAAGGCAAAGTATCCGATGCCGGCGTACATATCCACCACCCACTTCGTGCCCGTGCCCGTGCCCGCCCCCGCCCCGGTCGTGGGAGGAGGGAAACACAGAATACGAGCTTTCTCTTTAACGTTCCCCCGCGAGAACATGGTGTACCCCGGCGCCCAGATCTGGACGATACCAGACTGTCGCGTACTCGTCCACAGTGCCTTGTCCAAGTCGCTGCGCGTGGGCTGTTGCAGCGGTGGCAGGAGGCGCGGAAAAGTGCCAAAGAGGGGGGTTAGCTTCGGGGCTCGTATTGCGTTATTCTGCGTGGGGATGGGGCGGAGGAGCGCGAGGTGGGTTGCGTTTTTGCAGACGGCGGTGGTGAGGGTGGAGTGGAATTTTTGCCCGAGTTCGTGGGGCAGGGAGCGAAGATAGGTTTGCCAAGCGGGAGTGGAGAAGGCGGTTGATGGCAGGAGGAGGAGAGGAGGGGTATAAGTGTAGCGTTTTGGGATTGTGGAGAGGAGGGCTGACAGGATTGTGGGGTCTCCTGGAGGGTTGGTTGTGAGGAACGCGGTTATTGCGGCTTGGAGGGGGTTTTCGGGTGGGTCTGTCTTTCTGTCGCTGTGTGTGTCTGCGCAGGTGGCGGTGACGGTAGTGATTGCGATTCCGTGCCCGTCTTGAATCCCCAATCTTTGGAATATCCGTTCCTTCTCATCATCGAAATTGGCATCCCCATCCCCATCATCCTCATCATCTCCATAGTTGCCATTGCCCGACGTTGAAGCGGTGGTGGAGGTGGATGTGGGGCTACCACCAACCAACGACGTCGGAATACAACAACTCCCACTCCCACTAACCCTCCTAATTTTCCCCGCCAAAAACCCCCCATCCTCCAGCAACACCTTGACCTCTCGAGCCCGTGCCGCCGGTACTACCAAAGCAATGGACGTCATCCACAAACTTGTTCAGCGTTTAAACGTGGCCGGTAATGCTGCCACTGTCTCCGAAGGTGCCAATGATAAGAGCAGAGATGGAGTAGAAACGACGATAGATCTGTCCGTTACCCCCCCCCCCTTCCTGATCAGCCCCACTAACAAACCTGCCAAACAGAACCCACCACCTACCAAAGACAACCTCATACCTGACAACTCACCCCCGAACCCTTCTCCCCCCCTTCTCAGAAGCCACCTGTGCCAAAGCCGCACATGCAAAAACCCTCCTAACGCAAATATCCACACGCCTCTCGGACACACAAACAGAGTTGAGCGCACTCCCACCGCTGCCAACGCTGGAGTCCCACCTCGCCGACGCGACCGCCCGCGCGACAGCCATACACGCGCAATTGCTGGATCTGGAGAAGATGGTGGCCGAGGAAGTGCGCCGTGCGCGAGAGGAGGAGGTGGCGAGGCTAGAGGCGCGGGTAGACAGCGAGTTCGAGAGGTATGCGCGCGAGAGGAGGATTGAGGCTGATCGCTACAAGGAGGGGCTCGAAAGGCGGTTGAGGGAGTTTGGTGTTGAGAGGTTGGGGGTCGTGCAGGGGGAGGAGATGGAGGTGCGGGCCGGGAGGAAGAAGGAGAAGAGGAGTGAGGTGGGGTTGGAGGCGGTTATGATTGATGAAGGGGGGAGTGCGGAGGAGTTGGAAGATTTCTTTGGGGATGGAGCTGGAGAGGGGAGTTCTACGGAGGGGGTAAGGGAGGCGAAGGGACCGACATTGACACGGGTGGAGAAGACAGAGAAGACGAACGTCAAGAAGAACGTAGTATTCATACAAGACGAAGACATAGCAGACGAGGGCGACCTGGACAGATTCTATCGATAACCGTCTCTTTCTTCGCTCTGGAGCTAAACCTATTAATGTATATATATACCGGTATCATAATAAAAATCTAATTACCACCTAGAAAATTCCCATCCTCATCAACACCATCAACATCACTACGATCACACATCCTCACTCGTCCATCCAAATCAAAGAGTCGATCTCATGGGATTTCAATGAGTCTGATATAAATATAACAAAAAAAAAAAAAAAAAAAACCTACCCTAGCCCCTACCCCACCTACATCCCTCATATCTCATCCGTCCGTCCATCCACCCCATATCAACCAACCAACCAACCAACCCATCCACCCATCCAATTTTTGAGAGATCTCCGATGATATCAAAACATATCACCAGTAAACTTCGCTATGATACCTATCATACTTCAAATCACCACGAACGGGGGGAAAAGCAAAAACAAGACATCAAAAGCAAGCAGGTAAGCGAGCAGGCGACGCTCCCTCCTACTAAAGAGCGTGGATATATAAATAGACATGAAAGAAGGTATACCAATCCGCAGCAACTACGCCATGAGGGCAGAAACGAGGTGGCTTTTTTTTTTTTGGTGGCCAAGTAGAATAGTAGAATGAAGTGAAGCGGAGTTTTTCGACTCCCACTTAACAAGAAACGAGATGAATGAGGAAAACGAATAATAATTGTGAAAGCCGTAATACACCCGTTCCCAACATATGAAAAATTGGAAATTGAAAATTGAAAATGGAAAAGAAAAAGAGAATGCGCAAGCTATCTGTGTGTGCGCGGATGGGTAATTAGAGCGTTAAAATTCAATGTATTGGGTTTGTGAAGCAAAAAAGGCAAAACACAGTTTACGTGCTGTTTCTTCTGTCACCCTTTTTCCGCACCTCTAGCCCTACCTCTGCGCAGACTTGATATGTACGGCGTCTTCGGACGAGTTGTCTTCAGACATTTGATGGTGATGGTCGTGGTCGCCGTCATGATGCAAAGTCACTGTATACCGTCAGCTAATGGCCCCACAACTTAGAAGGCAATGGTGAAAAATACCAGAATTGAACTCTTCGAACGGGTCAGGATCTTTGTCCCCCGGAGTGTCTAGATTACTGTTCAATGGAACACCCTGGACTCTAGCTGCCCCGATATCGACACTCTCACTCTCCTTAACGCTTCGGAAGTTGACCGCATCAATACCCTTACCTGCATTAGGAACCATTGGAGGCCTCATATGGCGTAATAATGCCCACTGTGTTGAGCGAAAGAATGGATGTGTCTTGACATCAGAAGCACCAGCACGAGACCCAAGCCGACGGTTCTCATCCTTTACCAGGAGTTTACGAATCAGCGATTTGCAGACACTACAAGTGAGTCAGCACACACCCATCCAAACAGATATCCAAGCAAACCTACTTCGAAATTGATGGTGACCCCGGGTGCTCAGGGAACCCAACATCATCTCTCAGAATATTCGCAAACGTGCTATTCCGGCTCTTTCCCTTGAAAGGCGTGGTTCCGTACAACATCTCATACACTAGAATACCCAGAGTCCACCAATCCACAGCACTTGTATGCCCACAACCCTTTATCACTTCCGGTGCAATATACTCCTCTGTTCCGACAAACGAGTTTGTTCGAAAGTTAGCGATACAAGATTTAGTATCGATTGTGGGCAACGAGTTTTGCGAAGCTCCTCCCCTGGACACAATCATCGTGGGGACACCACCGGGATCCGACTGCTTTGAGAGGTCAAAGTCCGACAACATGATATGACCAGATTGATGTAGCAGAATGTCTTCGCAACCATCAGCAACAAACAAACCAGAACTAGGAAATGTAAAACCCACTCTCTGGCTTCAAATCTCTATAGATAAAACCCATCAAATGGAGGTACTCCAACGCCGCCGTAACCTCGGCAGCGTAAAACCTTGCATCATCCTCCAATACGCACTTCCCTGGTCGTGTTTGCAAAGCTACAAAATTTCAGATAACTACTCATGCTACCAAGTACCAAGGATATATCATACCTCTAAAGAATTCGCCGCCACTGCAATACTCCATGCAAAGGTAAAGATGATCCTCTGATTGAAACGAATGATACAGCGTAACAATAAAAGGATGATTGCTAGTGGCAAGAATCTCTTGCTCAGCCAAAGCCCTCTTGATCTTGTTACGCTTGATCATTTCCTTCTTGCTCAGTACTACTTAGAGTCAGCCAATAATCTGCGTAGTAAAATCCAGCAGATCTACTGACCTTTCATGGCATACAGCCTACTACTCTTTTTCTCCCGTACCAAGTACACCTTTCCAACATCCCCCTTACCCAGTAGCTTGATCTTGTCAAAGCTCTGGGGACCAACCTCCACATTCCTAACCTTGATCGAATTCGAACTATAAGTCCGCCGGAAAGCTCCGGTGCGAAGTCTCTCAGGAATGGCCTCATTATTACTAGGCACAGGCAATAAATTCGCCGTAGAAGTGCTTCTCAGTTCCCCAGTCGACCCATTACTCTGCGTTGAGGGAGCAAGTGAGTTAGATGACATGTACTTTTCACTATCCGCCGCGGTAACGGGTCTACCGTCCTGACCACCCGACGAAAATAGCCCCTGAGCATTGGGTGCCGAAGCAACCCTTCTCAATTTTCTTGCCAACTCCTCCTTGTTCGCTTGGGCCGCCTTATCATTGGCACCAGTGGCTCCCGTAATGGGGGACGGGGAAAGGGAAATCCCATCGGGGGTCACTGGCGGGGAGGGAGGAGCACTCCCATCATTATGATGTCTCAGTGCAGGAGGCCCCTGGTGAGCGAAATAAGGATTTGCATTAGCCGTGGGGGAAACGTCAGCGGTATCGAGCTGGCTTGCAGAGGAGGTCGATCGACCTCTTAGGAAGCGCGATTTGGGCCGTAAGCTACTCCCTAGGTGCGACGATGAGGTTTGTAGCTCGCCAGTGGTCGATACGTTCGTGCTGCTGCTATTTATTCGAAAGAAATTTTTCAGTTTTGTAGGGAAATGGGACGTGGACGAGGAGCGAGTATTATTTGGCGATGACGGGCTCTTCTTCTCGTTCTGATGCGAGGCCGAGCCCGACGATGAGCCGAAGAATTGGGTCATCAGTGCGGGGGGCCGAAAGGTGTACCGGGCCGAGTCGATGGTCGCCAGCGTAGGAAGAATTGGTGTAGTTGAAATCCGCGGGGAGAATTGTGAGCTTGCTACTCCAGCTTGCAAGGGGTAATTATCCTAGTGGAGGAATGTGGTTGTGATTGTGCTATTCGAAGGGAGGCTGAAGGGATTTTGAGGTGTTGTGTGTCGTGACAACGCTGTGTTGAGAATGAGAGGGGGCACACAAAGGTAGGTAGGTAGGTAGAGAGGGACGACGTGGAGGTATGATGAGAATAGTGAGAGGCAGAGGACGCAGGGGGTAGGTAGGGGGGAGGTGGTTTCTTCTTCCCTGTCTCTTTTTGTGTGATCACCGTGTGTGGCTCCAAAGCCAGCTGCAATACCAGGTAAAAGAGGGAAGACACACAAAACGAAAGGCTACAGCACTGCAATGGATGCAGCGTCGATATGCCCCGGCAACAAGCGGGCGAAGCGTGCGGGCGGATTATCAAGCAAGCAACAAAAAAGTCCGATAGTGAGGCGGAGCACCGAAGAGAGGGATGAGGAGAACGCCCATGCACAGCACGAGAAAGTCTGGAACGAACGAGAGAGAGAGAACAAGCAGGAACAACGGAAAGGCAGAAGACACTGATCGACGGGACGCAAGATAAAAATATATATTTTTCCGTTGTAAGCAAAGAAGGAAAGATCTACCGGAGTTGTTACTGTATTGCAGTCCGAAAAAAAAAAGGATCAGAAATCAAGAATCAGTAAAAAGGATTGGGCCGCTCGGTTTGGCCACTTGGTTGGCTGGATTGAGGGGAATCGATCTCTAGTCAAGGAGGACGCGAGCAACAGCGGCAAACTGATTGGCGATCGATAGGAATGGGAATGGGAAGGGGTAGCGGCAGGATGGGTGCCAAGTGCGAGAGGAAGAAATGGTTTTTGCCCTGATGTGAGCGGCACTCCTGACCTATGATAACTTAAGGAGAACTCACAGGGACGATAAAACTACCCAGACAAAACATCAAGCCTCTGAAGAATAAGAATAAAGACGCGACATCGCCGTCGAGCATTGAAAGAAAGAAAATTAAAATAAAATAAAAAATATAGACCCTGTTTGGCAAGCTACTTGCTTGACATTGCACCTTTTTAGGTTGGAGCTCGTGCCACGGGAGTCTTTGCTGGATTTTTGTTCTCAGCAGAATTCCCAGTAGGGCGGGTGCTACCGGTATGTGGATACGATACATGTTCTTTGGTCAAAGGGACTCGAACCTTAGCAAGAACTGAATCCGCACTCCGACTCAGGAGTAAATCAATCTCCTCCCATATGATAATATTATGATACCATACCTGCAGACTTCCCTCCCCCCCGGCGAATATTATACAGCAGAGCCCTCATCTGGCAGGTCCCTTCCCCTCAGGAGCACTCTCTCCAAAACCCAACCCAAGCCAGCGACAGCCCCACGACGCAATCGGGCATCGCTGCAGAGTAACCATGATAGCGCAACATTAGTAACAGCGCCGTCAACCCCACAAATGACCCCCACCAATCGACGACCATGAGAGCACTTGACAGGACCAAGAGCAACCAACTCCCCCCAGAGAGATTACCCGGCCCGAGCTCCGATTGTTTCTCTTTTCCTTTTGGAGTGGGTCGCTGGCCCACCAGCCAGTTTCGCCATCGGGGCTCGAAAGCGAGAAGAGCCTTTCGGACATAAAAAACCCTGGCACTCGTGCGGCCTCACGTGGCAGACTATTAATCCTACCGTATTTCTAAGGCCCAGTACAGTAAATTTATGGGGATACTCGGGGGGAATGGAAAATCCGCGAACAGCATGGATTTGGCTTTATAAAACTAACTAAATACAGGTAAGAATAATTTTACATGCTAGCTGAAAGAGGAAATAAAGCTAAAACTTGGTGTGACCCCCATTTGCCACAATAACAGCCCCAATCCTCTCCGGCATGCTCTCCACCAATCTACCCAGCTCATCACCTGAGGCAATATCATCCCAAACCTCTTTGATAACGTCCTTTGTAGCTTCAACAGTCCTCGGTACCCCCTCTTTATTGGCTTGAAATAGACGATCTTTCATTCTTCGCCAAAGCTCCTCTATCGGATTTAGATCAGGAGAGTTCGCGGGCTATATAATCTTATATGGCCAGAATCCATAGAGGGTGCGAACAGTAGTCGTGTATTGGGCACGGTGGGCAGAGGCACCATCCTCCATAAAGGCTGCTGGTGCGAAAAGGCCTATTGAGGAAACCAAATTCCGATACCAGAAATCAAACAGGATAGGGAGAATATAATGAGAGTAAGAGGCAGCCGTGATTTTCCCCTATTCATCTTTATCCCAAAATACTAACGGACCTAGTCTAGGTCCTATAAAACATCCCCAAATCATCAAACCTTTCAGTTTCTTGAACTTTGGAACAAGACATGCATCATCATAGTCTTCACCAGCCTTCCGGGTCACCCAAATTCGTCCTCTAGCCCCTCCAACCGCAAAAGATGCCTCATCAGTCCATATTACTGGCATCCAAGCTCCCACAGTCCAGCTGGCATGCTGCAAACACCATTGCAAACGTGTAGCTTTAGCCTTCTCATTGAGAAATAGCTTTCTCTGGGCTACCCTACGATAGTATCCCTCTTGCGCAAAGGCTTTACACAATACCAGTTCGGACACATGTATACCGCACATTAGGGCAATTTCCCAAAATGGCTTGCGACGGTTTTCAGCTGACTGGGTAGCAAGCTCAACCAGCCATTTTCGATCCTCAGCTGACAAGAGTTCCGGGCATCCCCTTTTGGACCTTTCTGGAGTAATTGGCTGATGAGCGATTTTGTAGGCAGTAGAAGGTGTACAGGTAACAGTTTGTGCAACCTTTCAATATGGCCATCCGGCATCATATATTAGTGTATGGATGCGAACCCGATCTCGATGGGAGAGTGGTACTCCGGCCTGGTGTGGGATTCCGCTTTGCTCTTTGTTAGAGCTGTTGTCCAAAGATTGATCTGCCTCAATATGATTTTGAACACAATTGCCAGTGTCCAAATCATGATTTGAGGCAGTCAATCGCGGTAAAGCCTGAGGTTCCAATTGGCGCAATGGTGGCATAGTTGAGGATCAGGCTCTCTCGGTCTCTCGTTTTGGTTTTGGCTGCCGGGCCTGCGATATGACAATGTTGCAGAAAGACTCTGAATGTGAGGTGAATATGGCTTTAGGGTGGATGGTGGCAATTGATTTTGCCACTACATTCTTGAAGAGGCGAGAATTCATGTATATAGATAGGGTATACACTCTAACCAATCAAAAAATAAGAAGCGTTTGCGGAATTTCTTTCAAAATCAACTTCAACCCCTCCCCCTTGTCATATAACTATGCCTTACGTAGTAAGATTCTCTGCCCCCTGCTGTTCGCGGTCTAACCCTGGCACCCGAGTACGATAAAAGGTGCGGTGCGATGCTAAGCCCTGCATTGCAAGATCGTACCTGCACTGGTATATGGTAGTACCGGTATGGTAGCGATCGCCTTATTTTGAAGGGGGTGTAATGACTAACCCATGGAAAAATACTGCGGTTCACCGGGTAGCACTCGGTTTTGGTGCCTTTTCCCGGCTGGCGCAGGGTGGCTATCTGTGAGGGGATAAGATACTTGTACGAGCACTGTATCCTACTGCACTGTACAAGTGATGGTAGTGCCGTATGTACTGTACTCGAGTATGATACTGTATATAGTCAGAAAGTTCGAAATGGGGGTTGGAGATAAATTTATCAGTGAGGAGTTCTTTGTTTCTTGGGGCTGGGCTACCGTTTACAGTACAGCACGGTAATTAGTAGGATAGGGTGACTCTGTTTTCTAGCTGACTGCCCTAAGGGAGGACCCGTCTGCACGGTCGCATGATAGAACGCTCTACTTCACACTCATGCTGATATTCACACTTTACAACAAAACATGATCAAACAATTATAAAGAGGGGCGTTGCCGCCCACTATCACAAATCTGCTCTATCACACCCGAAATGCAAACCCAAAACACAACAAGAAAAAAAAAACATAGCCCCCCCAAAAAGTACCGTAGTGATATATTCGCCGAACAGACCGTATTTAGATTGAGAAAATGAAGTAGAGAAGTAGCACATGAAGTAAGCGTGAACGGTCCGACAGGAAGTAATAAGCTAACTGGTACAAAATAAAAGTAGAGATAGCGCAGTGCCACTCACTGTAGGAATAATGGAAAACGGTAAGATGACAACCCCTATAATACAAGTGCCCGGAAAGCCCTTTAAACATGATGGAAATGGTAGAGTAGAAGAGAAAGAAAGAAAAAAAATTAAAAGCAAAACGCCTTAGTCTTATTCAAACGCCTTTTGCCAGCCTTGCCGTTCCGTTTGTGTGTTCGATAACTCGTTATATGCAGCTGAGTGGGTGTGAGGGTACGAACTACGTGGTAGCGACGATAGGAATTGCAGAGGCTTCCGTAGGAGGAATAGAAGTGGCTGGATTATCCGAAGGTGGCGATGTCACGGCCCTTGGCTCTTGATCTTCGTTAGCAAGATGCTCAATTATTCCCACAAGGGGTTTGGCGTCCGCTGCTAATAGTTCCTCTGCAGTTTCTTCCTGGATAGCGCTGCTACTCGGTCCCACCTCGGCCACCCCTGCGGCTTCTCCCTTTGTTTTGTCCTCGCCATTGCCGTCTTCTCTCTCCTCGTCGTGAATACTCTTTGTACTCGGTTTCCGGCTTTCTTCGTCGGAACCGTTGGCTACTGCACGGATCGGCGAGTCCGTCTTCACGGCTTCTACGGTGGCGCCCCCATTGTCTCCTGAGCCCACTTCTCCCAACTCTTTCTCTACAGCCCTTTCTCTCCTCAGCTCGACTTCTTTCCTCTTCACGTGGTGCTTCATCCCATCGCTTTCTCTGATCAATCCATCTATACTAATCCCTTGGTGTGTCATCTCCCCATTCAAGTAACTGTAGACTGCTGCCGCACTTTTGCAGGAGATGAGAGCCTTCTCGTTCAAGCGGAGCAGGGCCAAAGCCACCTGAAACAGGAACGGACTTCCAACAAGACATAGTATAACATCCCAGATACGGAAGAGTGCTTCTGCTGCAAGACAATCGGTGAATATACTCAGGAACCATTGGAAAGTTAGGGCTTCCAATTCAACCCCAAGTTTCTGAAGGTGCATGTGCAATGACGGGAGCACTTCTTGAACGTATTGCTTGAGAACCTGAAAATAGGTTAAAACGTTTGTGACCATAAACAAACTAGAGTATCACGAACCTGTTGATCGGCCCTAGAAGCTAATAAGTTTGATTCGAAATATGTCTTCGGTAATATTTTCTCAACGATACTGCAAAGCACCCAGAAAGCATCCTCCTCGCTTGGCATAATCAAAAGCAAACTTGCAGCAATCATGTTCATTCCCTGACAATACCCAACAGCTGAGTTTCGGCGGCTGTATGCAACAAGAACTTGCTTCAGTTTGCTAACACCGGGTCCCTGGCGATAGAAAACGTTATCCGTCAAAGTGCGATTGATATCCATTTCAATTTGACTGATAACTAGTGGGTCGTCCAAACCATTCTCAAGAATGTCTTCATAATATCCAGGAACCCGCATCGCGGTAGCACCACTGCACTCGGTCCAAACTTTCCAACGGTATGCCACCGGAATGCCACCTAGAACAAGACCCTTAAACTCTTTCCATCGTTGCTTGCCTCCTCTGCCTTCGTTCCCCAATGTTGCAATGCCGATGAGCTCCCCATCCCCCATCAAGACCTCTGGCATACCCTTTTCTTCCTCCTCGCCCCGACGCCTTTCCTGCCGGATTTTCTTCAGGAATTCATTCCACTTAGCCCCCCTATCTCTCTGCAATGAATCGTGAAGGTCGCTAAGTTGCCCAAGAAGCAATTGAACAGTGCTTGCTTCCGCAATAGAGGACATTTCAGAGTGTAGTGGAGATCGGAGGGCCAACGGCGCTTCAGAAAACGTTGTAGTTGTCGGAGAAGCCATTGCGGATGTGGATTTTGCAATCCTGTCAATTAGCGACTTGGTCGGTTGACCATGCTGAGAATTCTCTGGAGCGCTCGCTGGCGCTTCCTTGCTAGTCTTAGGTTGATGTAAACTTATCGAAGGCGTTTCTGGGGGGGGCTCCTGCCATCGTGTTGGCGTCCTGGCATCTCCAGCATCCAAGAGTCCGTAATTAGCTCCACTAGATGCGTTTGGTGGATCCCCTCCACCCGGTGTCGATCTAGGCTTCACATCCTCGTACCGTGGCTGCTTGGCGTCGTCGCCCCCAACGGACGATTTGCTTTTGGCCGACAGGGCCTTGTTTTTTTTATCATAGATAAACCCAAATCGATCCGTCAAGTAATCTGTGGGGTAATAGTCATTCCAACTTTGCAGTAGGGTTGGTGGCTGAATCGCATGCGGCACGATTCTATCCATTTCGACAGGGCCGGAGCTTGGATCCGCATTAGACGCATTTTGTGAACTATTACCGAGGGGCACCATACGTTCTGCATGATCTATGATATCCTGAAAGAATTTGCTTGGCCCCGGAGGTGCCCCATTAGATACAGTAGAAGCAGTTCGCCTCCTAGGACTAGTCTGGGTTCTTGCTGCATTTTTCGCCATTATCCTCTGCAAATTCTCACGATCAATTGACCCCGAACTTGCCCGCCTGTCTGCCGGTAGCCCAGATCCCTCAGTTCCGCCAGCGCTTCTTGGTTGCACGGGACTCTTTGGATTAAAGTTTTCCTGCTCATGCAGCGGTGGGGCGTGAGAAGCCAACCTCATTGCCCAAGCAGCAACCTTTGATGTCCCGCTCTGAGCAAGAGCATCGGGGTGGGATCCCGGCTGAATCATCGAAACAGCAGCTCCAACTGCCTTAAAATGCGGGGGTGTCGGGTGTGACTGATCCGAGGCAAAATGTGGGAAAGTGTAAAGAGAGGAAGGAGAGGCTGTGCGGCGAACAGTAGAGGTTATCTGGAGGCTTGCCGAGCGGGCAGAATTTGGGGGGGCCAGTGATGAACGGGAGGAGGCTCGTGACAGAATTCTTGGTTTCCCCTCTGGGGGGGGAGAAAATGTTTCGTCTGTGATTCCTCTCCTTTTACTATGGGGGGGGTTCTGCAATACCAGTCGCTCGTTCCCGGTGTTATTCTCACCCCCCTCCCCTATCTTTTGTCCCCAAAAGAAATTCTTCCATCTACGGACAGTAGACCCCCTTCTCGACGATGCATTGGATATAATGGACATACTATCCATATCCCGTTCAAACAGGATTGATCTAGAATCCGATCGCGCCCTAATGGTTGCCTTTGGCGTGACCATGTCATCCCTTGTGCTATGTCGGTCGTCATCCCCAAGATCAGTAGTGGCTTCCATCATGCTCAAACTGTCATCCACAACACTGAAAACATCCTCTTCACTCATAGCCTGTTGCATCATATCATCAATACTCTCAGTATAGCTCGTATCCCCGGCTGCGGAACGCATAGTCTCCCTCGAAGGTTTCCGTTGCAGGATGGCTGCCGCCAACCGTTTCTCAATATCCGCATTTGATACCTCAACCTCCACCAACATCTTCTTTAGAGCTCTCTCCCTCTCCTCCGCCCGCCGCCGTATGGATACCAGCTCTTTGTCGCGATGGGCGAGATCCGAAGCTAACTGGCGAATCAAGGAAATAACGCCTTGACGCTCCACCAGCTTTTCAATGGCGCTGTCCGGGGCCAGGTGTAGACTACCGGGAACATGGGCAGAGGCAACATGATCATCGAACAGGGCAGATCTCGGATCCGAGTTCTGTTCCCCTGGCCGAGCAATTGGAGAAGCAAGCGATTTGTGTAGTGGTGATGTGGCGGAGGGCGTCATGGACTGTTGAGCGGATGTCCGGTCGGATGGTGGACGAAATATATATCTCTGAGAAACAGGACTTGTAGACTTGGTAGTAGTATTAGCTACCGAGGCTGTTAGGGATGATTCGGGGCCGTCGTCATCAGAACCGGTATTCGACAGTGGATGGCTTTCGTCGACGGTCTCAAGGAGGTCAACAGTCGATGACGCCTGGGAGGGAATTGACCGGTGCAGGTCTGTGGGAGTACTCTCTGACGACTCGTCCGCGGGTGGGGTTTCCGATACCGAACCCGAAGGCGATCCATCCCCACATGGCCCAGGGTTGAGTTCCATACCGTAGTAACAAGTAGATCAAAGATAAACGCCCGCGCAAGAAAAGGAGCGCACGAAACGGTGCCTCTGCTGCGGGGTTTTTGTTCAGTAGAAAAAGAAGGTCGTCCAAAAGATGGAGTTTTGTCTAAAAGGAGCAAAGAAGCCGATAAAGGGGGGCTGTTGGGAGCTCTGTCTGTTGGGAGCTCTGTTCAAGAAGATGTCTATGGTTTGGTCCGGCTTGGGTTGCTATCGGACCCTGGCAATTTAGTCGGTGGTTCTAACCCAGACTGACACTGCGGGGGTGGGTCAGTAAATGCATATCGCAGCGAATGAGAGGAGTAGACGAACCGTAGCTAAAGAAAGGAGATGAAGGGCTGGAGTGAACACAGGAGGGTGATGGGTGTACTTGTACAGTACTCGAGTATGTGTGGTGTGCTATTAGTCCGGGTTCGGGTGAGAGCTCTTCGACACCTGTTTGCCCAATAAATTTAATGGTGATGGCGAAATTCGATGAAATATACCGGTACTTTCACGGTAAGGGACGGTCTGATAACAGCTTTTTTCGTATCCCATCACCCCCTTTCTGTTCCTTCCCGGTGTGTTGTCTCACATGTCTCTGTTTACTGTCCCTGTCGGTCTCTTCTCTATGATTTTCTGGAGTTGCCAATGCTGGGCCGGCTATTCCCTCTCTACGGACCATTTCTCTCCCAAGATTGCCGACAGAAAAGCCCATACAAACCAAAGGCATGAAATCTGACGCATCGGTGACGGAGAGCTGTTCATCCTGGCATTGGATCATAATTTACAGCAGGCCAGCAACTCTGTCCCACAAAAGTTGCCCTTGCCCTTGATCGTGGATTCCCCACACTTCACGTGATCTAGCAACACCGTAATCTTGCCCTTCCCACCACATCCAAAAATCCCTATCGCCTTGCCATGCTTACTATCCAGAAGAATACGATGCCACACAGCAACAGGAAGGATCGCATCTCAAGGAAGATATATTAAATTTCATGCTGAACTGTATCACTATTTGTCCGGGGCACCCATCTCATCCCACCGCAACATTCCCTCCTTATTTCCAAATATTCTGCCACCATGGGCATTTGATGGCCCTGACTCCAAGTGCCTTGGTATCCCTATATCAAGCCATGTTCAGGCCGTTGGCACTGATGCGAGGGGTCCCCGTTTCATTGATACCCTGATTCACCCCGCCCCATCGCAGGACTAGGCAGTGGAAAGCTATCGACACTAGAGCAGGCCACAATAGCTACCGGTAGAGACAGAGGGCCAACTGAGATTTTGAGCTCAGCTGAGAGGGCTTGGATACCCCTGTATGACATTCGAGGGATGCTGGCACTTTTGTGTAGATCCGGATGGGTAGTCCTCTCCTCGCAACAGGCGGAAGGCGAGTCATGGTGCTCACGAGACTAGTTGTCAGCGACTCAGGAACACGTATCGTCTATTGATAAACCCGGGAGATGGGAGTCGGAAGGCTGCGCTCTCTTTTATCAACAGATGGTTGAGAAGTCAGGATAGGTTGGAACTCGGTCACGTGGGATATCCGATGATTGACAGCTGTCTCCTCGAGCACCACGACTTTTTAGCAAACTCTAACCTGCCGAACCGAGGGGCCACCAGTAAACAAGCGAATGCCTACTGGTATGATTATACCGATGTATTCGGTACCTTTACTTAATACAACACACCTGGCAATGACAAGTACCAGTTACAAGAGCTTGAGCTAAACCCATTGTACAAAATCGCAAAAGCTTTTGGGCCGTGGCCATTCAACGAGAAGCGCTCCACCACACCCGTGTTCGAAAGGTGCACGCCGGAAGGTGCTGTGAGGGAAGCGTCCGATAGTGTTACCGAATGGATAATGAGTATGATAGAAAAAAACAAGCGAAAGACAGTATAAAAGGGCAGGTATAATATCCAAAATCGTGTTATTCATCTTACCACCTACATCTGTAAATCTTCCGCTACATATAACCCGTGAGCGGATAGATCACCAAAACAAACCCCCAAGCTAGAAAAAAACAGATGCCGAGTGATTAACTATGATAACTTCCATCCCACCTCAATGCCCACTAACTTACCCCTCAAACATCTCATCACCATATAGCTGATGCCATCTCTACTGTAGCCACACGACCTCGCAATCCCCAAAGCATACATACGTACACCCCCACGTACACCTACTCCACACAAACAAACACAACCCTCCTCCCCTCCACCCTCCTTGTCATCCCCCATCCCCCCAACGAACCCCAAAAGATATCCCAAAGGCTCACCCGGCGATCACAAAACACAATCAAAATGAAGTGCTGCCTCTTCCTCTTCCCGCACAAACGCCGCATCAGCTCCGATTCCCCGGCCTACTCCGTGACCAACTACGCAAGTGACAATACCGAGGAGTACAGACGTCTTCAATTGGTCGCTGAAGTCCAACCTGCTTACGGGGTTGCTCAAGGAGGAGGGGAACGAGAGGGAAGTGATGGGGGTGATCTTAGTCCCCGGATGGGAGGGTTGAGTCTGAGTGGTGAGCAGCAGGGAGAAGAGGGTGAGACAGTCGTTAGGAAACCGGTTCCTGCGTTGGGTAGAGCTTCCCGAGAGTAGTTGGAGATTCATGAGGCTGTTTGGGTGAACGGGGATGAAAGTTGAGTCGGTGAAGTTTGCTATGCTTTGCTGGTGAGCGCTTGTGATGGGGCATCAGGAAGGAGACCGGAATGATGGGACGTTAAGAAAACAAACAGACCACTGTGAGACCAAATTTGGGAGGGGTACATGGCTTTCAGCTATCATTAACAGCAGAAATCAATGAAATATTTCTGCGCCTAAAGCTTGAAACCGAGTGATGAACTGTGAGTGATGAACCAAGCTAAAGCTCTGGGGAAATATATAATCTCGGACACCCGAAAGCCGTGGAATGAATCGATGAATCTAGTATCATATGATAACCCGATATCTATCATAGACCCGTAGGCTATACCAAGAACAATATTCAATGTTTTCAACCAGAGCCAGACCCAAGTGGTCAAGCCACTACCACACGCAGCTCATCAAAATATCGGGAGAAAAAACATCACCAACTTGAGTTCTACAAAAAGCCAGCCTCAAAGCCTAGGTGAATATCCTAATCAGCAATCAAGGCGCCGACCTAGAATAGCGGTATGATATGATACCAACCACCTTTTCTTCCTCCCTCGTCTCCTTCATTAGTAACAGCTTGCCAAGCATCCCATCTCCGGACCCGAACCCAACCGCCCGCGTTACCGAGGTTCGGCGATACAAGGATAAATAAATTATATTGAATCGAGGTTCGGCAATAGGCCCTTCCCACGTTCGCTGAACCTTATTTAAGCTTCACCGCAGACCAGCCAGGCTTAACCCAACTTAACCAACTCTACTCGTACAGCTACAACACCATACCACGTCTATCTAACGAACGAGGATACCCCCTCGAAAAACTGCCGATCCAGCAGCAAGTAAAAACAGTAGGTAATGTCATCATCGGCACAGTCTCGATTATTGCAGGTTGCGGGGCATGTTGGCGGCGGTGGCGGGGAGGGAGGATTACCTCCTGTGCCGATGGTCGCAGGGGATTCGGTTGGGCCGTGGGAATACCTCCCTGCTATCTATCTCTAACGAGAATTGAGAATGCAAGAAGCTGACGAGGGATTGCAGAAGGCTAACCGGCAAAGTCGCCATAGTTACCGGTTGTAATTCCGCCGTGGGTCCCCTTCTCCCCATAACTCTTCAATCACCACGACTAAACCCTCAAAAAAGATCGGCATTGGCCGCGCCACGGCCCTGCAATACGCACGCAACAACCTCAAAGCCCTCTTCATCTGCGACTTCTCGAATACCAACCTCCCAGCCCTAGAATCCGAACTGCGCGCCCTCGCGCCAAACACCAAAATCCACGCGCGCACCTTCGACGCCGCGGACGAAGCCTCGGTCGCCGCGGTGGTCCAGGAAGCATTAGACAAGTACGCCCGCCTGGACATATTCTTCGCGAACGCGGGTGTGCTCGGCGGTATGAAGCTCGTTGGCGACATCACGGCGGAGGAATTTATGGAGACCTTGAGGGTTAATACGCTGAGTGTATTCCTAGCAGTGAAGTATGCCGGGAAGGCAATGCAGGTTGTTGGCAAGGAAAAGAAGGTTCCTGGAGGATCGATTATTGCCACTGCTTCAACTGCCGGGGTTAGGTCTGGCGCCGGGACTAGTATTTATCCCTTCATTCTGCCGCACAGCGGGGGCTAATGGGAGATACGGCAGCCGACTACTCTGCTTCCAAAGCCGCAGTAATAAACGTGATGCAGACTTCAGCATTCCAACTGGCGGGCACGAACGTCCGCTGTAACGCTATATGTCCCGGTCTCACCGAGACCGGAATGACGAGTGGAGTCTGGGACGCGGCCAGGAAGCGCGGAACCGAGGGGAAGATCGGGCAGATAAATCCACTCAAACGGGGCGCTGTCAGTGATGAGATTGCGAGGGTTGCGTTGTTTTTGGGGAGCGACGAGTATGCACTGATTATAACTCCCTTCTGGGGTGAGGGAGAGAGGAAGGCTAATGGAGGTGGATGGATAACAGGAGCTCATACGTAAACGCCCAATTCTGGCTCGTAGACGGAGGACTGAGCGGTAGTCATCCCACTGCTCCGGGAAAGTTCTTTTAAATACCGGTAAAAGCTCGTCACCATCCGTCCACCACATTACACCTTAGCCTTAGCAGACAGCCGGGCAGCGCATTCATTCAGAATAATAACACCGGTATTATAATATCATAAACACAAACAAACAAATTCACCCGCCCCTCCCGCAATCACACTGGCTCACTCGAAAACGACCGCCCCCCAAAGCCAAGCTATAGCAACCATAACTTGGGCTTCGGTAAACCACACTAAAGTACCCCATACTCGAGTACTTGTATGGGAACACCCGAACCCCAAAATTAAATTTGTCAAGAAAAAGAAAATCAAATCAACCCAACCCAACCACACCCAAAAATCTTGAAACAGACCCCGAAGCCATCCAGCATCGTGAGAAGTCTTGCAAGCTGATTGGTGGAGACCTGTTCCCGGTACCTGGTGCCTAACATACGGTATTCTCTGTGCCGGGACTCTACTCGTAAGTATCAGATTTTTAGCGACGCCGGAATACTCCTTTGACAATAGTTTTTCTTTTCTTTTTCTTTTTCATTACTTTTTCCTAGGGGGTGCATTTCATCCCGTTTTTTTTTTGGAGGGGTGTGGTGATGGTACTGTACCTGTCTGTACTCGTACTCGTACTCGTAATTATTTACTTTATTAATTTGAATACCGTAGTAACTTAAGTTGGAGCGAGTTCTTCCCGCCTATTGCTTTCGAATTGGGATTGGAAATCGCGATTAACTTGTTGTTATTGAATGTTTACGAATACAGTACAGTACCCGAGTACTTGTGGGATATGCGAGGATTACTACCCGCACCATATATCGCTCGGCAGGGGAACAGTGGGTGTGATATGGTGGATTTGGACGAGCGATAGGTACGAGTATTCGGGGCAGGGGCGAAGTACGAGTAGAGTACTGAGTACAGGTATTGGGACAAGCTGTTGTCTGAGCGTAATTACGGTACTTTATTTGGGTACTCGAGTACCTCCATGAGCTTTTTAACTCAGATCCTACACACTGTAGGGATGTCGAGTGAGGAATTGGTGCCCCTTCTGGTAGGTTTGCGTGATTCCGCCACTGATTATTGAGGCCACTGATTCACTCCCACACAAAACCCCCTGCTCGTCCCGATATTCGAGTACGGTAATCGTACTTTACCCTTACCCCGAGCACCGGAACTCTACAATGCCGTACCGGTACTCTACGGGAGTTGGGTTATATTGTGAGCATTTGACGGACAGTTGTGCCGGCACGAGCACTGCCGTAGTTGTAAGCTTGATACGATAAAAGAGAACACAGTACGAGTACTCGGATGATAGCGATGGGGCAGACTTCCCTCCTCGTATCACTGTTTCCTTTGTTTTTCGCGGCACACAGCACTTTGTTGTACTTTGTACCTCCTGAGGTGACATGACTTCTCCATCCGCAATGTATCTATACTGTACCAATGCGGTACGGTACCCGAGTAGTATTCCCCTGACTGGTGAGCCGGCCTACCAATGCAGTCAACTATGGGCTCGAGTTAACTTAGCGGTGATTCACCAACACAGCTCGAGTGGGGAGGATTGCTTTTTGTGTGCCCCGGCGTACATACAAGAGTACCAGTACCGTACTCGAGTACCGGTAATAGGGTCCTGAGGTTTCGGTGCGGTAATGTGCAAGTTGACTTGATCTTCGCTGATGCGAGTTCAGTTGATACCGGTACTCGTACCGTGCCTGCACCAATACCGATACCCGACTCGAACACCAGTAAGGAGATTCGAAGCTCTCGGTACGCCGCAAAATGAGAACACAACATACCGCACAAATACAAGTGTACTGCTTTGAACGTTGCCTGTATATACTATCACCATGACAGGTGTATTAGCTTGCTTTTTTATACTTTGTGGGTGCTCTGATCTTGAGTAAAAATATGACAGTGGATGCCACGAACAGTAGGGTGAAAATTTTCAAAGAAACCTTGCACAACAACCCATGATCACCAGAATCATATTATCTGTCCGGCTTCTTTCTCTCCATTATAGGAATTAATTTTCCTCTCCTTCAGTGGTTTGTTTTCTCATCTCTAACCTTTTTTTATTCTTAGCAGCTAATCACATTTTTTTAGCATTGTCAAAATACCTTTGGCAGCTATCTCAAGGATGTCGGTTAACTGCTTTGCAACTTTGACCGTAACCAGATCTTGAACAATTTGTGTGCGATAGGATTTGCATGGCATTGTTGGAATTGCGGTACTCTGATCATAAAGTATGTCTTTCTCTCCAACTCAGAACTTGAGGCTCTTGTTACTCTACTTACCATCTCTATCTGGTTCTTTTTTTTCTTTCTTTTTCTACCTAGCATTACAGACTATGCAAAGTAAAGGTTAGTTTAGACAAGCGATCGGAGATCAAATGACTGTACTGCTCTACCTGGTCTGCTGCATACCTCCTCACCAAAAGGTTCACCATGTACCGTTTTTCACAAGAAATACACCTGTACCGAAACACCTGTACCTTCCACGTACCGAGAGCTTCGAACCTCCTTAGTGCCAGTGCCGTACAGTACTAGCAGTAGCACAAGTACAAGTAAAAACTCCTAGAATCCGCCCATCACCTTCAAAACCATTTAACTGTAATCTCCGAATTCAGGGACAAGCCCCCCCTCCCCCTTCCCCTCCGAGAAGGATTAGCCTTTTCCCGACGCAGCAAAAGATCAGCCCAATGAATACCGGTAATACAAGTAGGTTATGTCGGATCTCCTTAACTGGCTATTCGCGCAATTCCGTTAACCTGTCAATACAAATTCACTAAACCCATCATGGGAATGACGAGCTGACTGAGATCTCTTCTCCCTCCCCCCCTTTTTTTCCTGGGATCTTTTTTAAGGTACGGTTCGTTCCCGCGGGGTTTCAGCTTTGGTCGCGGTATGGCCGTTTTTACCGGTATTTGTCACCGGTGCTTTGGAGAATCACTGATTGTAGGGGTGGGTCTGTCCATTCTTGACGTGCATCGCGTACCGATACTGTACAAACTTGGGCAATTGCCCGCTCGCACCGAGACGTTGGCTTCGCTACGTTGAAACGAGTTGAACACTGCAATAGGGTGGGGTGGGAGGTGGTGAGCGATGGGATGGGATGGGATGGACAGGGGGGTTTTGGAGTCCGGGCGCTGGATACTGTCAGAGTGATCTTTTACGATGAGGGTCCGAAAGCGGTGCCCTGGATGCCTCTTTGGGGCCCGTTAGGATCCTTTTTTTAATCCTCCTGAGCAAACAACAAGTTCCTCCAGGGGCTGCGTACCAAGAGCCGGCGCAAAGCTGTCGCCCAGATTCCACAGATTTGCCATCTGGATGATTACTAGATCCATTTGTTTATCTCACGAAAAAAACTCCATAGACTATTTCTTGATTACAATACCGTACCATATCATCAAATTGAGTATTTCTGTGCAGACTATCCTGATTTATTCATTTTACTCAAGCAATCGCACTGCTCTGATTGATAGTGCAACGTGCAACTTTTTGATCTTGCTCTCCAGACTTGATGCCATTCTTGTTGAGGCGGTCTAAGTGTTCCTCACCATACAAGTACTTAGGATGTGCGCATAAGTCTGTGGAAGTCGGGTATGGTTGTGACAAATATTAATAACTTTTAAGAAAACCGAAGATCTGCTGCTGGATCAGAACCAGGAGGTTAATACTTACTTGTACCTACTACAAGTAGGACAAATAGGTTGCAGTCGCTACGTGTTCTGTGGATGGCGCAATATAAGGGTTATGGGTCAAGTCTTTGCACACACTAAATTTAGAAGCGTCGCTCAATACACGAGCCAGAAACCTTGCTACCCACACCCGGAGAATGTATCCACAAAACATACATCCATAATGTGACCCGGACTGACAGCATAGCTCTTGCCACGGCCGTGTGATACCAAGTAACAAAATTATGGCAAATATGTTACCCGATTCCATCACATTACCCCGAGCACATCCCCCCCTAACCCCCTACCCCCAGACCCTACTTACTAGGAGATTATAATACCCGCTTCACATAACCCGAGACCGCTACTCAAAAATCGAAACCGTCCGATGGGGGGGGAGAGGAGCGGGCGAGATGCTCCCTGCACATATCCGGTGACTCCACCGCCCCATTCCGATCCGTGCTCACCCACAGAGTCCCGCCCGTTTGACGAGTGATATCTCGTGAATGTGGATTTCTATTCGTTCCGATGCTCTCGAGACCGGAACTGACATTCGACATTCTTGCGCCAGGGTTTTTTTGCCCTTTCGGGGCGGTCGCTTGCTGGTCATTGTGGGTTGTAGAGAGTTCAATGGAGGTGTGTGTTAAGTCTGTTGGTTAAGCTCTGCATGCAGAAAGGAAAAATGTGGGATAAAATTTCGGGTGGTGGGGTTACCCTGCTAGCCGGTCACATGATTTACAAAATTGACTCACCCCGAAAGGTGTGGCTTGGCAATACCTATTATCAATATCCTATCCGACAAGGCAGTGTCCTTCTCTCGGAATATTGGTGCCTGGAGCCTCCATAAACTATATTTCGCACAGATCCCCCTTACCAGTTCTCACAAAAAAACAAAATAAACTCCCGAGTGACGCAACATGATCACCCAATGAGCGACATGAATCTCTAAAGTACAACCCACCAACGAACTCCCGCTATCCCCTGACCATCCCGAACATTGAAAGTCTAGCCGAATGTAAACTTAAAAATGTACAAAAATCAAACCAAATGCAACAAGAGGCAAACTTCTGATTCCACAAAGGATATAGCGGCAAGAGAAAGGTAGGAGTTGGTAACAATGGGTGTAATAGTGAACGAGCGCACAGTATCAAGTGATATAGACTACCTTGCGAAGAGGTAAGAGTTGATACTCCCTTTCCCAGTCCCGGGTCCCGCGCTTTTCTTTTTACCCTTTGGCGTAGGCTTGGGCTTTGGCTTGGGCTTTGGTGCAGGCTCCTCTTCCGAAAAGGATTCATATGCAGGCTCAAGCTTTGTGACTGTAAAGAAATGTCAGTCTGTGTGGGGGAGCGGGTAATAGGACAAATGCTCACCAAGATACCCATCCTCATCCTTAACCTGTACCTTTTTATTGACCTTTCTCCTCCCACGTCTTCTACCGCCTTTGGTGACAGCGCTCACAACACTACCGGTAGGGAGTTCGACAGGCTCATCTTCTGGCGACTTTTGAACTTCTGGAACTTGTTCTTCCAACTCTTCTTCCTCCTCATCGCTCACATATTCCCTTACTCTCCTTTTAGGCTTAGCTTTGATATCTGACAACTGTTAGCACCCGGAAAACAATCAAGTGTGTAAGCACAAAACATTCCTTCATCATCACTCATCTCTATCATTTTAGTAAGTTCATCATCCCTCTCCCTTCTCTTTTTGACATCTTCAGCGGTATCTCTAAGGAGAGTAGGTTCAAAATCTTAGTCTTCCTCGCTACCAAGTTCTATTTTAACCGAGACTGAAATCACAAATGAGTATCCATCATGGTAATCGTAAGATGTGAGTATAACCAACCTTCTTCAGTTTTAGGACTATGCGTAGTTGAAGAAAGATTGGATTCCGCCTTCTTATTAGCAGCATTGCCCCATGAAGTGAACAGATTAGAAGATCCCTGTTTCATCAGTGCAGCTTATGTTGCCGATTGAGAATGCTTCATCTGAGTAGAAGTGGGCT